ATAGCAAAATAGAATCTGCATAGGGGCTGTGTAAACAGTCTGGGTGGACAGTGTGGAGTGGGAGAGGGAGAACCAGCAGCCTGACTGTGGGGTGAGGTACGCGGCGCTCTAGCAGGTTGTAGCCAGGCAGTAGACAGCTCCACTCACCGTTGCCACCTCCAGGTCTTTCCATTCTAAAACAAACAAATTAGATTCCATGACACATGCCTATAATCCCACCACTCAGGACACAGAGGCAGGAGGATTGCTATATGTCTAAGGCCAGCTTGGGCTATAGAGAAAGCCAGTCTTGTTGCCTTGTGGTGGTGGTGCATACCTTTAATCCCAGCATCCAGGGAGGCAGAGGGAGGTGGATCTCTTAGTTCAAGGTCAGCCTGGTATATGGAGTGAATTCTAGGACAGTCAGAACTACACGGAAAAATCCTGTCTTGAAAAACCAAAAAGTAAGTAAGTAAATAAATAAATATAAATAAGTAAATTTTTAAAGATTAAAAAAAACCCAAAAAATTGTTATGTGAAATCTTTGGAGTTTCCAAGAGTTGGCTTCCAAAGTGAGATTTTTTTTTTTTTTTTTAAAACACGGTGTATGCCAAAAGCGTTCAGGCCAAACAAAACACATCTGTGGGTTGGACTGATCCCAAGACTGCAAGTGTGTGACTTCTGTTCTAGAAACTAGAGCAGCAAAACAGGTTCAGGTTTAAGCTGTATTCTATAGTGATTTCTAGGTGTGGGAACAGGGTCAGGGAATTTCTAGAAAGCCGTGTGCAGTCTGTGCGCACTACTCTGTTCACCAAGTTCAGAGGGAAGGGGGGTGGGCTGATGAGGAGACACCAGGAATGTCAATCCCCGGGAGGTCCGGATGCTGATGGGACTGTGCAGGCCAGAGAAGCTGGACTAAGACAGTACGGTGCCATTCTAGGCTCAGGGGCTGGGCCCCTCGTGTTATGTGTAGCAGGCAGTGGTGAGTGCTCTCCCACAGAAAACAGAGGTCCTCAAAGGGCTCAGAGGACAGGGACGAAACCTTGCTATGTGTCCCAGGCTCAAACGGAAGCAGAAATATCGTCTGGGAGAGTCTCAGACACAAAGTCTGGCCCTCAAGCAGGTGTCGTTTTCAGTCTTCCTGTGTATGAACCCCGTAATGGAGAAATTGATGTAAAAAATTCACCTGAGATCTATAGCTTCTCAAGAGCGCTGAACAAATACAAAGCAAGTCCACAGCCAGCATCCACACATAAAGCACCCCTGGAAGGAGGCCCCAAACTTGTGTACTTATGGCCGATGCTAAATGGGACTCGGTAGGGTTTTTAACTTGCATGTGTGTAAAACAATAATAACAATTCTAGGAAATGCAGTCGTGAACTTGGGAGGGGTCTGGAACACGTGGGAGGAGTTGGAGGGAAAGAGGGAAGAAGGAAGACCGTGTAAATATAGCACTCATGTCTTAAATTCTCAGAGATTTTTAAATTAAAAAACAATGACTAGCCTAGAAACAATCCTAAGACTTTAGAAACACAGGAAGTTAATCAAAGAAGGGTAAGTCAGAAGACAACAAATCGGGGAACTGACTCCAAGAACATGACAATCAGAAGGAATTTTAATAAGTATGACTAAAGTGCGGAAGAAACCAGAGGAAGAATTTAAAACAGAGGGTAAGAAAGGAGGTGTGTCTGAAGACGCACCGACTGGGGCTTTGTAGATGACGGCTGTATCCATCACAGCAGGCATAGGATGAACGGCGTGACGAGCACAGCTGAGCAAAGGGTTAGCGCAGTGGGAAATCGATCCCAGGAAACCTTGCAGCGTAAGCGCTCAGAGGACGACACAAAATGTGAAGACCACCACCAACAACAACAACACAACCAAAAAAGCAAAACCAATCAACAAAACCAGAAAAACACCACCACCAACGACAAAGGTGTAGAGAAATGGGGGTTTGAATGATCCTGTCTAAAGGGTAACCAAACCAGTAGGATTTCTAGAAAGTCAGCGAACACCCACACCGTGAGTTAGAATGGGGCAAAAAATACTGTCAATTTAGGTTTCTTTTTTAAAAAAGAGAGAGGGATAAAGTATTTATAGATGAAGACTGAGAATAGTTAGTATCCTCATGAAAGAACAATTAAACTCATTAGAGAGAATGATTCCAGGCAGGAGAAGGTGTAGGGGCCCATGAGCAGGGAATGGGTAAATTGGAAGGTGTCTGTCTCCTAAACACACAGAGCACAGCTAATAGAGACTAATTGGGAATTTTCAAGCATGTCAACAGCAGCTAGAAAACGTGGAGGCTGGAGTAGCTTTAAGAGTCTCATTTCTCAGGGGCAGGCGGATCTCTGTGAGTTCGAAGCCAGCCTGGTCTACAAGAGCTAGTTCCAGGACAGGCTCCAAAGCTACAGAGAAACCCTGTCTCGAAAAAAGAAAAACAAAACAAAAAAAAACAAACAAAGAGCCTCATTTCTCAGAATGAAACTTGGAACTCTGGATTCTTCAGAAGGATCTTCTGGTCCACTCGTTTCTCATTCTTTGTTCAGTTGTGTATGGTTATTAAAACCGAAAACCAAAGTTAATGAACAGAAAAACGAGATAAGGGAAATAAAAAAGTGTGCATAGAGAGTTTTCTTAATCTAATTAAAAGCAAGAAGAAGACCAAAAGACAGACGGAATAGAAAGCCAGTGAGAGGAGGGGATCAGCCTCGGCGCAGAGCTAGGCGCTTGCTGTTGAGAAGACATGAACCAAATCACGACTGAACCTATGTGCAGAGATCATCACTGAAGCAAGAATAGCTCTGGGCTGGGGAGATGTCTCACTAGTCAACAGTGCTTCCTGCTCTCTCAGGGGCCTTCCAGTTCCATCTCCAAGATCCCATGTCAGTTGGCTTATAATTGCTCGTAAATCCAGCTTCAGGAGAGCCAGTGGCCTCTCTGGATTCTGTTGGCACCCACATGTGCATGTGGCCTGCACGCCCAGGAACATATATGCACAAATAAAAATAGAACTGAAAATAAAACCCAGTGCAGGGAGGATCTGCCAGCTGATCTGAAAATTGGAATTTCATTCCCAGGATCCATGTGGGAGGAAGAAACCACCAGTTCAAGTAAGTTGTCCTCTGACCTTCACCCACAGGTCATGGTATGCGTCCCTACACACCTACACACGTGCACACCCACAGAATAAACAAAATGCAATAGAAGAAAATTTAATGACGTGGAAGATTTTTCTGTTTTAACTTGCTGATACGCTGATAGATATATATGGTCAAAGGTTAAGCATGTGGAGTTAACCTTGCAACTCCAAACAAATCTCACCTGGCTGTGTGTATGGTTCTCTTTCTCTGCTGGTGAGGGCAGGATATGGCACAGCTGCTGTGGGACGCAGCCCGGTAGATCCCTGAAGAGGCTAAACAGCGCCTTGCGGCTTGGCATTGCACACCCAGCACGTGCTCAGCAGAGTGGAAATCTGTGCCCACCAAAGCAGATGTGCACATGAGCGTCCCTAGCCGAATAACTCATAATAACCCAAAGTGGAGATGACTCAGATGTCTCACTACAGACCAGATAAGCTAAGAGTGGTCTAGCCCTGCAGTGGTGTGCGACTGAGCCACAAGATAGGATGGAGAACTGATTCATGCTGAGACTGTGGATGAACCTTGAAAATACGCCAACCTAAAGGGAAGAGCCAGAGAGCTGCGGCTGTGGCCTGATCTGGCTCGTATGGAGTGAGCAGGACAGCCACAGCAACAGAAACCAGCATATCGTGGGGTGGTGAAGCAGAGGGAGAAACCAGAAGTGACTGGTTACGGGGACAGGGTTTCCTTTTGCGGTGACGACAGACCTGTGCAATTAGACAAAATACGCTAACACCCAGGGAGCGGTGCACTATGGGAATGAGCGCTATGTTGAATTCCTCGCTTTTAAGGAAGGAAAAGCAAGAAAAGAAACGTAAGAAAATGAAAAGAGAAGGAAGTAACTAGGTAAATGAGATAAAGGAAGGTTTTTAAAATGTGAGTTTTAATAGCTGTTCTTAGGGGGAAGTGTAAGAACTGGGGACGGTTTCCAAGTAGAGGAAGGAGGAGGTCTAAGCGAGCACACTGGATGACGCTACGGAGGTCCAGCATGGTGAGGATTCAGTCAGGGAACCCCATTCTTCCCCAAATCCCCACTATTGTGGGGTCCCCTTTTGGACTCAGAGCCTTTTTTAAATATTACAATTATGTGAGCATGTATGGGGTGGGTGGGGAGGGTGAGGTGGGGTGGGTAGGGAGGGTGAGGTGGAGTGGGAGGGGTGAGGTGGGGTTGGGGGGAGGGGGAGGTGGGATGGGTTGGGAGGATGAGGTGGGGTGGGTGGGAGGGTGCGTGTGAGTGCGGTTACCATGCACACAGAAGAGGATGCTGACTCCCCAGAGACCACTCGACTTGGGTCCTGGGAAAGCAGCTCATAACCTCTGAGCCACCTTGCAAAGGCCCAGGACCCAGAAACAAGCTCCCTTTGTTTCTTTCCTGTTTCTCTTAAGGGCCCAGGCATCACGAAGACGGGAGATTTTAGGAGGCTCTGTTTTACCAGTAACGGTTTTGCAAAGACTCTCTTCCCACCCCCTGCCACTAGAACAAACTGGTTAACTTCCCAAATTATGTCAAAGTGTGTAACAGCACTGACGTTCTTAGGTCAAGATAAAGGACTGAATCTGCTTGCTACCCCTGTTGTACAACTTTGGCCTCCCAGAGAGTTCAGAGTTATCTGGGCCCTCTCGATTCTATGCATCCCTGGGGGTAAGGCTTTTTCAGGACTCCAAACAAATCAGGCCTTCTGTGGTCAGAAGCCCAGGGTCCTCTACACATGTTCTTCCCTGGGTCTGGAACATTACCTCCCAAGGTCCTAAACCTTTGTGGGCGAAATGTTTCCTTAGGACACAGGTTTCCCACCTCTTGTGTCAACCCGCCGTCAATAAAACCTTTAGCTCGAAGACTTTGTGGGCAAAGTAACTGATCTGTTGACTGTCTTGCAGATGGCAAGGATAACGCCACGTTTCTGCCTGGCCTTGGGACCTCAGACACCACAGCTAAGACCTTCTCTGCCAGGGTCCGGAGAGCCACAACCTCAAGGACAGAGCGGATATGGCCTGGAGGGGTCATTCCTTATGTTATCGGAGGGAATTTTACTGGTCAGTAGCCCTAGATGTGACCTCATTGGAGCCAGTGAGAGAATCCTCCTAGGAGGACTCGGTGGGGATGAGCAGTTGCTGGGACCACAGCAGTCCCACGAGGTCTCTGCTGGAGCTGTGCCTACAGAGGTGTCCCTGTTCTGAAGGCTTGAGGGAGAGAGGGGTTTCTTACAGCTCAGCGTTAAAGGCAGCAGGAAGGCAGGCATGGAGCTGTCCATGGTGGCTCCCGGCCTCAGCTTGGATTAGCAACATAGACCTGGTAGTCCCTAGGCACAGGAACAATGCTCCACGTGCTAACCAGAGGACACATGGGTGTCATGGTGCGCACAGTAACCAGAGGACACATGGGTGTCATGGTCCGCACAGTAACCAGAGGACACATGGGTGTCATGGTGCACACAGTAACCAGAGGACACAAAGGTATCATGGTGTCACACAGTGTGGCATGACTTCCTGGTCTGTATCCTGGCTGCACCTCACAAATTGCTTAACATCTCTGTCTGCAGTTCCCTGTTCTATAAATGTGGAAGTTGATAGAGAATTAAATGAGATAATACCAATATCAGCAAGATTTTTGAAAATCAAGAGCAAACTTTGTCTTAAGACTGTGTCTTCCTGTGGAAAGAGGGCATGGTGTGCCCAGGAGTGATGTGACCGGCGGTGCCCTGTTGTTTCAGGCAGCCAGAGGGCCATTTTTAAACAGGCCATGAGACACTGGGAGAAGCACACTTGTGTGACCTTCGTCGAGAGGACAGACGAGGAGAGTTTCATTGTGTTCAGCTACCGGACCTGTGGGTAAGCAGGAGGGCAGAGCCTCAGCAGAGTGCCCGGTGACAGACACAGGATGAGTGGGCTGGAACTTCCGGTCACAAGGTGCATTTCCTCTGAGCTGTGACTTGCGGGAGGCCAGGGTTTGCTGGAAGCGCTTTGTCCTCCGTGGAAGTGGGTGAGTTTGGGTTGTGGCCCCAGGAAGACTCTCTGCTGATAGTCCTGACATCAGGACAGCGTGGCTGATGGCTCACATGGAGAAAGACTGAGGCCAGTGCCTCCGTTGGCATAGCTGATGAGGTGGCTAGTGCCCCTGCTCACTATGCTTGGGTGTCTGAATGTCTGCCACTTTAGAGAGCCTTTCCCTCCATGTCCCATGTGTCCTCCCACCCCTATCCTTTCTCATCACCTGATACCCTCTCTGTCACCATGCTAGACTTCTATAGTTTATTCACATTTACCCTTGTTTACGACTCTACATTATAGACAATACAATTACAGACTAGGATCTGTCTGTGAAGGAGAAGACACAGGTTTTGTCTTTCTGAGTTGGGGTTGCCTGACTTAATATTATATTTTCTAGATCCACCCGTTTTCCTGAATTTAGTTTCCTCTGTAGCTGAATAGCATTCCAGTGTGTGTACAAACCACCTTCTCACCATCCCCTGATCTGTTGCTGGGCCCTAGGCTGGTTCTGTTTCCTTGCTGTCATGGATACAGACAACAGCAATAAACACAGACTGCAATGCCTCTGTGGTAGGGTACGGGGCCCTTGGGCTGCTTGTCCAGGAGTGCCACAGCTGGGCAGAGCAAGAACTTTTAAAGAAACTGATAAACAGAGGAAGAAATGCTTGCCCTCCAAGCCCCAAACCCAGAATCTCAAGAGGAATTCTTTTAACTCTTCCTATGCCATTTTGATACTGAAACGTCCCAGTGAGAGGAAGAGCATCTATCTCTAGAGATGTGAGGTACACCTGTACCTAGTTAATTTCTTCATCCATTATAGGAGCTTTCAGGACAGCAAGCAATTCCATGATAGTTCTCTAAAAAGCTTGGAAATGTCCTTTCTCTCACATCCGTGCATATCTCAGCAGAGGCTGAGGGCATCTGGGTGACCGCCATACACTTTCCGTTTCCAAAAAGTAACCAAGGCATCACAGGGGCAGCGGCCAGTTCTAAAGGTGCATGTTTCCACTTGTGCAGACAGCTTTATATTCCTATGTGTATGTTTTATGTATGATTAAGAACATATTGATCCTACAAGTATTTCTGTTAAATCAGAGGCATTTGAAAGAGATTTCTGGGCTCCACAATTATGTAACCCTGCTCTGGAAATGCAAATATGCCTAGAACGGAGAGTGAGATCAACACTGTGAAGATTGGCGGCAACAAAGCCAAGGTTGCGGTGTTGAGAGTTAGTGCGACCATGTGCCTGGAAAACCCACAAAGTCAACCAAGAAATTTAAAACCTAAGAGACACGACTAAGGGGATCGGGCACAAAGTGAATGAGAAGTCAAGCATGTTCTCTGTGCCTGCTTCGTCTGATAGATTCTTTTTTTTTTTGGGGGGGGGGTTTCGAGACAGGGTTTCTCTGTAGCTTTGGTGCCTGTCCCAGAACTAGCTCTGTAGACCAGGCTGGCCTCGAACTCCCAGAGATCCGCCTGCCTCTGCCTCCCGAGTGCTGGGATTAAAGGCGTGCGCCACCACCGCCCGGCATCTGATAGATTCTTATAGTGGGAAAATACAACTTGTTGTTTTGGATAAGAATTGGGTGTAGGAGTGAGAGAGTTTAGTCTTTTGCAATACGCACATATTTGTTTACATGTATGTTTACATACTCAATAGATAATATGTGGATGGTGGGAAAATTGAATGCTTTAATTCCTTTTTTAAAAAAAAGATTTATCTTAGGTGTATGAGTATTTTGCCTTCGTGTACAATGTGCCCCTCATGAAGGCCCGGGGCCTGCAGAGGCCAGAAGGGGGCATCAGATTTCTGGAAGCTGACCTCACAGGCCATTGTGAGATGCCACCTAGGTGCTGGGAACTAAAGCCAGGTCCTCTGCAAGAGCAGCAAGTGCTCTTGACCACTGAATCATCTCTCCTGACTTTGATTTATTTTTATACCTTTATTGAAGTAGCATGTAAGCCTGGTGCAGAGGCACACACCTGGAATCCCAGCACTTCAGAAGGTGAGACTGAGATGTTAACAATTAAGGTCAGCCTGGGCTACATAATGAGTTCTAGGCTACCCTAGGCTACACAGTTGAACAATAATCCTAAAGGGCTGGAGAGATACCTCAGTGTGTAAGAGTTCTTGCCCTGGAAGCTTGAGGATTTGAGTTCGAATTACCAGCACTTGATTCTCCGACAAACCCATGTACATGCAAGGGTTTACATATTCTCATACTAATGTTCTATCATCACACACACACGCACACACACACATGTGTGCACACACACGTATCATCATCATCCCTCCCCCACATCATTCAACAACAAAACAGTAATAAAGTCTCATAAAACCATTGTTTACCAGTGTATTAGGAATAATAAATGAATTTCTTTTTTGAAAAAAAAAAATAACTGCACCCGGTATAGACTTCCTCTAAAGTCGCTGACAATGACACCTAGGGGCACCCTTTCCAGAACCCAGCCATCTACCTCTTGTCTCTTTTTGTCCTCAAAAAAGGCCCCATGAACTCATGACCTAGAAGAGAGATGGGTGTGGGCACACGTCATTCTGGTTAGGAAGGTCATTTCTTTCTTCAGGCTTTAAATGAGGTCTGTGATCACCAAAAGGCCCAGGTACATTCTGGGGGAATGGTGGTCTTGTTGGGGGAAGTTGGACAATGAAAACGCTTCTACCTCTGAAATGCCTTCTCCTTCCTTCCCTCCTTCCCTCCTTCCCTCCTTCCCTCCTTCCCTCCCTCCCTCCTTCCCTTCCCTTCCCCTCCCTCTCTCCCCCTCTCTTTCTTGCTTTCTCTCTCTCTCTTTCTTCCTTCCTTCCTTCCTTCCTCCTCCCTCCATCCCCCTTCTTTTTTTTTAAAAAAATACACCATGGGTTGCAAGATGCAGTGGGACAGAGCTTGCCCCCTCCTTTGATGTCCTCAGGCCTGCTAATCTCCATATTACCATCTCCCAGCTGTTGCTCCTATGTGGGACGCCGAGGAGGAGGCCCCCAGGCCATATCCATTGGGAAAAACTGTGACAAGTTTGGAATTGTGGCTCATGAGCTGGGCCACGTGGTTGGTTTCTGGCATGAACACACTCGGCCAGACCGAGACCAGCATGTCACCATCATCAGAGAAAACATCCAGCCAGGTAAGGGATCTTGAGTGGAGTCTAGAAGCCAGCAAGTTGGGGACAGTCAGAGGCTTGGGGACAGTGAGAAGAGGCCCTGTTGGGAGTTGCTCAAGGCCCATAGCTAATGGGGGGACAGTGACCCAACTTTGTAGGCACTTGTTATGAGCCTGTTACCTTTCGCCTGCGGCCTTCCCGAGAGCTTATCTGCTGCAGCATGTGGCTTACAGTGGGATAGAAGCCATGATTCTTCATATAGTAAAGGAAAATGAAAACCAACTCAAGTTCCTAAGCAGTGTCAGGACTGATTAACCAAAAGAGGAGTTCTCCTGGCAGTTTTTATGAGCCACTTTTGCCACAAATGCAGCCCTTTGAAGCTGTAATGCAACTAAGATACACATGCATGTAAAAGACAGTGCCCTGCCTAGACGCATGCTGCCCACGTCAGACAGCACATGCAGATCAAACATGTATGCATCTTCTCATGTTGAATATGTGAAAGTTTGTAGTGGAGCCTGGTGAGGTAGTACTTGCTAATAAGCCATGCACTAGGGAAATTGAGGCAGGAGGAACACAAGTTGGAGGCCAGCCTGGTTTATGATTGAGTTCAAATCCATCTGTCAAGTAATGAGATCTAGTCTCAAAACAAAGGAACACAAGCAAAAAGCTACAACCCCAAGGTCGACGATGAACATGAAAGCAATTGGCTGGGTTATATGACTGCCTTAAATCTTCTTTGTGGTATGTATGTGTACATGTATGTTTACATATTTGTGGCATGTGGAGGCCAGAGAACAATCTTGGATGCTTTTTCTCAGGGCCTTTCTACACTCTTTTTTGAGACAAGGTTTCTCATTAACCTGAGTTTGCCAAGGGGGCTAGAATGGTGTCCAGCAAGCTCTGGGGATCTACCCATCTCTGTCCCCAAGGTTAGAGTTACACTTAGGTGCCACCAAGCCAGCTTTTTTATACTGGTTCTGAGAATCGAACTCAAGTCATCGACTAAGCTCCTCAGACTGCTTTAAACCTGTTTCAGAGGACCCTAACCACAAACATTTGGATTTAACCTTCTGATTGATTTTCTTGCTTCTTCAAATTGCAAGATCAGAATTTTTTCTTTTAAATGAAATATTTTGGTCAAGAGAGCGAGTGCTAATCTATCTGTAAGCAGAACTGATGTTTCAAGTGACATTTTGGGAGAGGTGTTGGGTAGTGGAGCAGAGAGAACCCGGGGCTTGCCCAGCGTTTCAAACCTCTAGTCTATTTCATACAATCACCATAAGCCCACAAGTTTTTCACCTGACCACTCAGACAAAAGAAGGAAGTTGCCTGGGTGCTCCTCCTCCCCACAGCTACCATTTGGGTACCACTTATTTCCGCAGTCCTTAACAGACGTTGTATCACAGGTCAGGAGTATAATTTCCTGAAGATGGAAGCCGGCGAGGTGAGCTCCTTGGGAGAGACCTACGACTTCGACAGCATCATGCACTATGCCCGGAACACCTTCTCAAGGTCGGAACCTTTGCTTCCCCCTCCCCTTCTTTATTGCAGCTGCCTCAGGCTTGGGTCTGAGGAGCCCAGGGGTCTGTGGAGAATGAGCAGGTCTCAGCACGCTCCTTCCATGACTGGCCTGTCCATCCTTGAAATACAGTGGCCTCTGGGCCGCAGTGAAATACAATCTAATCATGTTATCGCTAATAAGATTGAGACCCGTCATGAAGCTGGTGTTCCATCATGCCCTCATGTCACAAGGAGCAAACCGGAAAAGAGAAATTACAGAGAGCTTGTCTGGGAGAAAAAACCCAGAGGCTTTTTGTAAAATTCCCATTGGGTTGGGGCATCTCTAACACACATCTTAAATAAATTGGAAAGTGCTTGCCATTGTCCCAGAAGAGGCTCTGATTATTGGAAACTAGGCTGTGTCCGAGATGGAACGGCTATAAATCATGGGTTTGTTTTAGAGACAAAGAAAACTAAGCTCCAGCCATCTTGAGAGAGCACAGGTGCCCAGAGCAGAATGAAAACAAGGGCGAAAATTCCCTGCTTTCGGGTTTCAGGGAATGGGTGCTACTCACCAGAGAAGGAGGGAACTGCCATTTACCTCAGGCACACTTGGGGTCTGTCCCATGTATGGGGCTGTGCATGAGGATGTTAAATATTCTCTATATTGCTCCTGCCTCTAGGTCACGTAAGTGTAGTGTACACAGAAAGGCACCCCACTAGTCCCAGCTGGTAGGTCTTTGCAGCCCTTAAAAGAAACACCTGAAAGTAAAAAGAGACACCTGCAAATATTTTTGTTTTCTTACAACTACTATTCATTTCTAACCCATCCTTCCAGAAAGATCCAAGGTGGTTTCCAACACACCACACACACACACACACACACACACACACACACACACACACGATAGCAAGGGTTGGGAGGAAGACAGAGAGCTCTGTTGAAGCCTGAAATAAATTCAGTCCTCAGAATACAGACCAGTAGGATGTGATGGTTTTGTCAGTGTGGGCAGCAAATCCTGCTCATGCTTCCTAGTAGCAAGGCAAAGGACAAAGCAGGCCATTTCCCGAGTCTCCCTGTGTGTTAGGGTTAAAGCGAGTTGTTGTCTTGGCAGTGTTGGCTCTGGATATAAAACTCATCACTGAGAGTTCTTTGGTTCTTAGGCAAGGAATCCTCTCCATGAGGTTGCCAGACTGGTAAATCCCAAGTTCCTTAGCGACGCTGTTCGTCTGGCCACACATCTGCTTCAGTTCTGACCTGCCTGCTGCACCCAAGCAGGGTTCCCAAACCCCTAACCAGAGAGTGTTGCTCAATTCAGACCTCTCCTTATGGGATGGGAGCACAGCCACCCCGAGTCCCTTCCAGCTCCAGCCTTTGTGCATTGAGCAATCTCTTAGTCTAGAGTAGGTAAGGAGTTGACCGGTGACCCTGTGCATTGCCACACAGAAAAGCTGAAGTGAAGGGGCTTCCTCTTCTAGACTGGTCAACTAGACTTGAGGGGTCCATTCTGGGGTTGAGGAGTGTTCTAGTTTCCTTTGTGTTGCTGTGAAAAAATGTCTGACCAAAAGCAACTTAGGAAGAATGGATATATTTCATCTTATACTTTCAGGTCATAGTGCACCACTGAGGGAAGTCGGAGCAGGAGCTTGATGAAGCTTGTGCCTTGGGCCTTATTTTGGTAGCTTCCATAACTCTTTCACAGTTCTTCACTTTCTAATTTTTGGTTGTGAGTCTTGCTAAGAGACACCATGACCATGGCAACTCTTTTGAAAGAAAATGTTTAATTGGGGTGCTTACATTTTCAGAGGTTTAGCCCATTATCATCATGGTGGAACATGGTGACATGCAGGCAACATGGTGCTGGAGAAGTAGCTGAGAGTCCTACTTGACTTGCAGGCAACAGGAAGTGGTCTGTATTACGGGATATGGCATGAGCATGTATGAGACCCAAAACCCACTTCCACAGTGACACACTTCCTCCAACAAGACCACATCTACCCCACCAAGGCCACACCTCCTAATAGTGCCACTCTCTTAGGAGGCCATTTTCTTTCAAATAACCACACTGACCTTTAACAGTTGAGCCATCTCTGTTTATCTGCCACATTCCTCCCTCCCCCAGGAGACTGAGAACCTTAGACACAGCACTGTCTTATTCTCATCTAGTGTGTAGCATCCAGTGGGTGCCCGACACATACTAGGTATCTAATAGACTCTTGTAAAGTTTATAAGTCAGTGTGTGCGGAGAAAAAGGCCTAGAGGGCTGCATCACAGAGGAATGGGTGAGGAAAATCCTGTCCGTTATTCTGTCTACGTCTTTGCACAAACTCACGAATGTGGCAGCTGCTCCTCTCCAGAAGGGAGGACTGTAAGTCTTGCCTATGTAGGACATGTAGAGCCGAAGGTCTCATCTACATAGGACATGTAGAGCCGTAGGCCTCGCCTATGTAGGACATGTAGAGCTGTAGGAACAAAGCCACCTTCCTCTCATTGGCTCTGTGTCACCCACTGCACCACGTTCTGGAATCAGAGGCCAAGCAGAGGCTCATTCTGTTTTTCCTAACTTTCTTGCTTTTTTCCCTAAATATCTTTTCCCCTCCTATGATCTCTAGCTCATAATCCTATTGCTTCTGCCCCTCTGGAGGTAACCTTTTTTAACTCCAAAGTCAGCATGAGCTATCTTATCAGCACAGACCAGAGGAAATCTTCAAGCCAAACCCATAAAATAATCCCAGCTCATTCAAAGTGCCTAGGAGGGAGATTGGCAAGGAACAGCAGCACTGGCTCACGATGGGCAACCTGTGCAGACCGGTGCAGAGCGACTCCCCCAAGGCCGACTTCTGTTACGGCTACAATACCTATTGCTGCACAATTTCCCTGCCAAACATAGGCTCTCAAAACCGCAACTTACTGGGGTTTTTGTTTTGTTTTTGTTTTTCACCCTGAGTCAGCCCAGCTCATTCTTCTCTGGCCATGCCCAGAGCTCTTGCCCTCTCCAGTCATTTGGCATCTGGGGAGTTAAGACGGTCAGTCACACATCTCCCACTCAGTGCCAGCTGGCCACAGCCCGTGGTCCGCCTTCACATGACCTCCCCACTCTTCAGGAGATTTTGCCAGGCCCTTCTCTGCTTGAAGGCTCAGGGCCATTGGAGGGCAGCCTAGGTAGCTGCAAGCTGCTAAAGGGTCAGGCTCTAGAACTGTGTGATATCGCTTCTCTCACACCCTAACCGTCAGAGCCACCCAGAAGAGGTGAGGTACATTATTTAACCATCTACCCCAGCCCTCTTATCAACTCTTGCCCCAGAACTTGGAATATCTCCCTCCTAATACAATTTGCTGCAGGTGGATCCCTGCATGGCATTTGAGATGGTTTTCTGTATGACATTTTCGAAAGCCGTTTTGGACCATGGGCTCTTACTGGCAGACTTTTTTTTGGCATTTTTTCCCCCAGAGGCTTCTCTACCTCCTAACTGTAGCTCATGACTCTTGGTTGTTTCTCCCCTGGGGATCCACTGTACCTCACTTTTCAGCTTGTGAAAGAGCAGCGGAACACAGGCCTGTGGGATAAAACCCTTCCTGCTGATGGGAAAGGCAGTCTCTGAGTCTCTTTACGACCTGAGCTGTCTCCTTCCAGTTCTGTCCCCTCTGGTTTTATTGCCTTTCTTCTCCTTTCCCCTTGGTTGGACCCAGGCGGTGGGGAGTAGTGTCCTTAGAAGCTTTGCTGGGCACGGGTCCAGGAGGCGAGGAGACAGTTCTCCGTTACAGGGCCGTCTTTGTTTGGAAAACCCAGAGCTGACAATTTTCTCCCCAAAGGCATCTGTCAAACTTTCCCAGTTTATCCTGAAGTTGGTACTAGACACTGTCCACCCAGAAAGTCCACTTTGCCAGTCAGCAGCTAAGCCCAGGCTACTCCATATACAACATGCTTATATGTGTTTTTTGCTGCAAAATTTCTCCTTCAGGGAAGCTGTCACAAGGTGCCATGTCTTTTGTTAGGGCAGAAGTGTCTCTCTGTCAAGTAGCAGGTAGCAGGTAGCAGAATTCAGAATTTTATTTGTCTTAGGAGTTATGATTTAGGGCTTCAAGGCCGGTATGAAGAAGGGAGAAGAGTGTCCCTGAAGTGTCTTAGGGGATTGTGGAAGAGGAGGACATGAGACTCAGAGAAGGTCAGGGCGGCAGGTTAACTGGCAGGCAAAGGAGGCCGCAGAGGACCTCTGCAGAGGATCTGGTATCTCTTGTGCTCACTGGAGAGGACACATGCTAGAAGTCAGACTGAGAAAAACAAGCATCTCACAGCCAAAAAGATAACAAGGTGATGTCGGCAGAAAGGAATGGAGATGTGTGTTATCCAGTGTGGCAGAGAATTTGGGAGAACACAGAGCTGGGGAGGGAAAGAGAAGGAGAGAGTGAGAAAGAGAAGGAGAGAGAGAGAGAGAAAGAGAGAGCTCCTAATAACTGGGCTGTGTATATTTTAGCTGGTTCTTTTGAATGTAGATAACTCTTCTGTGAAGTTTTTTTTTGAAAATAATTCCTGATTGCAGCTACACAATTTAATTAGAGTGGGTGGGGCTTGTGGCTTTTTCCCCTCCCTCAGTCCGTAAGGACAGAAAGGAAAAATCTAGTCTTGAGAAACTTACTTTTGGCAGAGGAGAAAATATCACCAACAATAAAAAAAAAAAAAAAAAGACAGAAAACTAGTCAAGAGAATATGGCAACACCAGATGGGAGGGGTAGAACCGGTCCCGGAAGTCTTTTAAGGGGGAAGGATTGCTGATGATGATCTGGAGAACAGATCGGAGTCTGTAAGTAGGCAAAACAATCAGGCGGGGGTAGCCTGGGGAGAGGACAGGGTACACGGGGGTTGTTTGGGGCCTAGAAGGCATGGCAGAGGAAGTCGGAAGTCATGAGCAAAGGGCCCAAGTGGCAGGAAGTTGCCAAGCACACACCTATCTAGCTTGATGGAGTGGCCATATTTCAACACTATAGGACTGGAGCAAAGGAGACTGAGAGGAACTCAGTTAGGAAGTTTCTAAAGAAAATTCAGGAAGAAGAAGTGCCAATCACATGAACTCAGACATATACTGGGAGCCAGGAGGAGGGTCTGGGCTCAAGGGATGCCTACAAGGTACCCTGGACAGAACTTGGTCACTGGTTTCAGTAAGAAAAGAGTGAGGGACAGGGAGGAACTGAGATCCCCTTTAATCTACTCTCCAGAGACAAAGGTCAGGGGACAAGCAAAGGATGGGAAAACTCAATGGGGAGCCAAATTTAAGGTAGTATCTTGGTCCACGGTACAGTTCAGGGAATGGTACCAGATATTGGGGTCTACTAGATGATTCTGAACTGGAAACCATTCTCCGAGGCTCGTTAAAGCTCTCTGGTGGTGTTGTATGGACAGAGAACAGAGGCAGGAGCATCATCAATGCAGGGAGCAGAAGGGGTTGCTTTCTCCCGGGTCACACAGCAATGCCTGGAAGAGGATAATTGGGAAGAGGCACCGACAGCTTTCTGAGATATAGAGAGACAGGTAAAGACTGAGAAGACCCCGCTGAAGGTGCACACACGATCACCGCTGGTCCAGTTAGGTCCCGGTTGGAGGGCAGAGTGAATGAAAGCCAAACATCAAGCAAGAAGGGAGAAAAGGCTTTTCAGGAAGTTGCTTAAGAAAGGAACAGATGTGTAGGACAGGCCCAGACAGATGGTCGAGAGCCAGAGGAGGTTTATGCAGTGAGGTGTGACTAGGCCAGGGCTCAGTTAGACATCTGGGGGTCCTCTTGTGTTTGGGAAATGCCCCTGACATTTTAGATCTTAGCCACGCAGTATAGAATAAGGTGCTAGCGCTAGGAGGGGCCATCACAACCAACCAGCCAATCTTCTGTTGAACAGTGGAGTAAACTGAGGCTCAGAAAGGTTCAGAGATGGGAAGGGGATTCTTGAGTCAACCTACATGGCAGGGGCAGGACCGGCGTAGGAATATCAGCCTGACATCATTTGATGACCTCTATTGCTCTTTATTCAGCCGCTGGACCAGTTCCCAGGCTCTTTCTGAAGCAGTTCCAAGACTTATCTACACAAAGCTTTGCCCAGTGCACAGCTCTGGGGGGCACCACTCACACCGTGATCTCTGAATGGTGGTCTCCAGTTTGTACAGCATGATGGCCCCAGGGTGAGGGCCTGTCAGGGGCTCCTCGGAAGCACTCAGTACACATAAGTCAGGCAGGTTTCAGACTACTGGAATAGGGTATATTTTTCAACTTGACAGTTGCCTCCCCATTGGGAAATGATGGGATGGAATGTGGCAAGGCGGCCTGAGTGAAGAAACCACTCAGTCATGCCAGCAGGGGGAGGAGGGTGGCAAGTGACGGGGACAGGAATGATGATGGGTGACCAAGGACTGAATGAAGACTGGGAATCTCCTCGCACACAGCCTGGCAGCCTTGACTTTTCTTTCTGTCTATCTTTTTTTTTTCTTCCTGTAGAGGAGTTTTCTTAGACACCATCCTACCCCGTCGAGACGACAATGGCGTCAGGCCAACCATTGGCCAACGCGTGCGGCTCAGTCAGGGAGATATAGCTCAAGCCAGGAAGCTGTACAAGTGCCCAGGTAACTGTGAGCCACAGGGGTTCTGAGCAACACCTAGCCTCCCACACCACACAATGCATGCTGTGTGCAAGCAACCCCATCTCTTGCTGGGAAGCGCCGTGGGGAACTGAAGGGACCACTCCTTGGCAGCTGTGGTTTCTGGTGTCTTTGTTAGGGAGTGCGCAGTACAGTGCAGAATGCTGAATTAGAGAGGCACATCGCAGGCTCAGAGCCCACAGCCTGACTATGGGAGGCTTTTGAAGTTCCCTGGCAAAGCCCCGAGTGCACAGGGAAGAGGGGAAGTGGAATGCAATACAGTGTGACCCGTTGCTCCGAGAGCCCCTCTTCTTTCTAGGGAACTGGAGAATGTGAATATGAAAAAGGAAGGAACAAGAGCTTCTGGCAGGAAGACAGAGAGGGAGAGAAAAGCTTTGGGGATGACAGGGGTCTGGTTCCCAAAAGCTACAGTCAGAGCAAGTTTCTGGGCTGTGGCCTCAGGGCTGGTTACCGGCCATAGGCTGTTAGAGATCAGACAGTATCTGGGGGATGGAACAACGGCTTCTCCTGAGCTAGGACTGCAGTCCCTTCTCCTTAGACTGGCCCTCTTGCCTTCATCTCTAGCCTGATTTCATTTCTGTCACTGTGATAAAGTACACTGACAAAAAGCCATGTGGGAGAAGAGTTTATTTGGCTTACAGTTTCAAGTTACAATCCGTTATTACGGAGAGGTCAAGGCTGGAGTTCAAATGGCCACAGTCAAGACCAGAGAGAGAGAGAAAGAGAGAGAGAGAGAGAGAGAGAGAGAGAGAGAGAGAGAGAGAGAGAGAGAGAGAGAGAATAAATGTATGGATCCTACATGCTGTCTCATGTAGCTTTCTTCTGCTTGTATAGCTTGGGACTGACCCCCTGCCTCGGCAATGGTGACACCTACATTGGGCTGGGTCTTCCTGCATCAGATAACAATCAAGGCAGCCTCTTACAAACAAGCCCACAGGGCAAGCTGATCTAGATAATTCCTCATCAGGACACTCTTCCCAGGTGTTCTGTTTAAACTAACCAGCTTTGACATCTTTTCATCCCAAGTCACCCCAGGGTTAGTGCCCTAAGGCACTTCTAGATCCGTGCAAAGTATTGTTTGTGCCACTGATGGGACAGAGTGAACTCCAGGGGTTTGTGGAGGACAGAAGGAAGTTCCATCGCCAATGGCTCCGGTAGCCTTTTCCACATCCTTCAAACCTGATGTGTTTTGATGTGGTGGAATATTTGAAACTGGGGCCATCGGAGAAAATCTGGGCTGTGACATTGCCCTACAGCGCAGGACCATGGGGACTGACAAAGGCTGGGTAGGCTGCATCCTTATGGAACGAGGAAACATTTTCATCCAGCCCTCAGCCATCTAGGGGGCATGCTAGGGCTGAAATACAGGACACACATATCATATAACCTTCTGAATGTAAAGGGAAACCTTATATCGTTCCCTGGGAAATGCCATAGTATTTATTTAGTTACACTCTATGTGCTGTTTATTTCCCAGAAGGCTTCCCGGCAGCTGGTAAATATCCTGGAGCATACAGTAATGTACCTATTCTTGCAGAATGCTGATGATTATTCTAAAATAATTTCCATGGAACCCTCGGGGGTGCTGGCTGCTGGGAGTGAGCCTCACTATGCTTGGCAGTTGTTCTGTAATGTGACACCGAGGCCCTCATAGCTGGGACTTCCTGAGGCAAGTGATGGGCAGCTCTCCACATGCCCCTTCCTGGAGCTCCAAGAGCAGCCGCGGATGCTCTGAGGGGTCGCTGCAGACTGGGGCTAGGGCGGTAGCCAAGCAGAGATGGGCTCAAGAGTAGGAGAAGATGCTTGAGGATGCTCATTCCCTGCACTTTGTGGGTAGACCCATAGTGGGGGTCACTCAGCAAGCAACTAACTACCTTTGCATTTTAGGGGTGTCAATCCCCAGGGTTCAGGAAATACAAATGTCTTTTGCTCCCAAGCTACAGAAATCTATCTTTCTTCATTTCTTTTAAGGACAAGGTAGAGGAAGTATTCTCCCTACTACAGAAGCTATTATGAAGGCCCCAGCATGGCTGGGAAATCTGTAGCTCACTTGTCTAGCATGCCCAAGGTTCTGGGCCGAACCTCTCTCATCGATCAATCAGTCAATCAGTTCTACAATCTCAGGAACACTCTGGGCACTAAAACCTGAGTGGACCCGGTCCATGTGATAGAGGCAATTTCACTGGCCTTCTGAGTTGGTTCAGCTCTTGGCTGGAGAACTGAGCTCTGAACCCAGATCAAGCCATGCTGAGAGCCTTTGGCAGAAGCCTTTGGTGCTACTTCTTGGCACCAAGATCTACTTTTGCTTGCCCAGGCCATCTACTTGGCTGACTCTTTGTCTGTCATTCACAGGGCCTTGGCTTGGGAAAGGCTGTTACCTCACAGGCCTGGGCAGGGTAGCCTGTCGGGGAGGGGGAGCGTGTGTGCCTGTATCAGAGCTGTTGTTTTGCTTATGCAGCATGTGGGGAGACACTACAGGACACAACAGGAAACTTTTCGGCGCCTGGTTTTCCAAACGGCTACCCCTCTTATTCCCACTGTGTCTGGAGGATCTCTGTTACCCCAGGGGAAAAGGTAGGTGAGGACATTAACGCCCACGATTGGGTCATTGCATGCTGAGCACACACGCGGCTATAACACTGCACCCCACAGATGTGAACGGTGAACACAGTTTTTAAAAGATGGGCTGGACCCCCATCAGGAATAGTGTGGGATAGGGAGATTCAGCCTTTGTATTGGTAGTCAAGCAGCTGCTCTGAGTGCCCACCCAGTGCCAGGACCTCGCGCCCCACTCATTGTTTGCTGACCTCTCAGCCAGCCTTACCCACACAAATGGACACCTGGCATGCACTAAATGTCCACATAGGGCATGGATCAAGCTACCGGTCAGACAAAGCACAATCTGCCTTGTTCTGGACTAACACACTATTACAGTACCCTAGAGGGCACGTTTCCAATACAAAACTTCTTGAAACCTTGGAGCTGTGCTTTGGTAGGTGGCAACGTGGCCAGAACAGCTGGCTTCGCTTCTCCAGCCCTCTACCTCTGCCTGTGTTGACGTCCCAAGCCACAATCCTGAGTACCATTCACTTAGCCTGGCAAACAGTTGCTCTGTAACTGGCCTCTGGTAGGCTGAACTGTCCAGATATGTGTCTGGTCTCAGATCCAGAAAGGAAGCCATGGCATGGCCTCTAAGCAGGCTCAGGGAATACCAAGGCCCTGGATCCCCAGAAGAAGATGTTGTGGCCTTAGCAAATCCTGTATTCACAAGTTCCATTGTCCCTGAAGATTCCATGGTCCTCTGGAGCTGAGCTCAGGGCCAGGGCATCTTCTCCTTGATACAAGGTGGATATGTTCTGCTCCACCACCGGGTACCATTATGTCCATTAGGTGGACAAGGAATCTGGAGGGAAATTGCCCAGTCACATAGTAAAATACAGAACTGGGTTTTGGACTCTAAAGTTTATCTTTTCTTGAAAGATTTATTTTATTTTTAATTCTGTGTATATGTGCATTGAAGGGTGTGTGTGTGTGTGTGTGTGTGTGTGTGTGTACAGGTGTCCATGGAGTCCAGAGAGAGCTGGAGCTGATCCAGAACTCCTGGATCCTGTGCTCTGGACCTGGAGTTACAGGCAGTTATCAGGCACCCGGCATGTGTGGTGGGAACTAGACTAGGGTTCTCTGCTAGAGCAGTACACTCCTAACCACTGAGCCATCTCTCCAGTCTTTATCTTTTTCTTGTGTGTTCTACAAATCCACATATCCTTCAAGTTGTCCCAGACCAGATAAGTCCTCTTCCCTTGGGTCTAGGTGAGGGGATGGCGCTGTGTTCCCAGATCCCTCTAGAATCACACACGTCACAGCATGTTTCAGTATCGTGACTACGGAGGTATTGTCCTAACTATAGCCCTTAAGCGCACCAAGGACAGAGATGGTCCACATCATTCCCAGAATCTCACTGTGTGAGTGTTTACAGAATGGATATATGGACGTATGAGGGTGGAGTGAAACCTGGGCAGCTGGAGGTGGTGGGATAGAGTGGCTATTTTTCAGGTGTCCACGCCAGTCTACAGACATCCCTAATTTATAACTTTAGGTATGGTGTGGCACCCAGAGAGCTGTGGCTAGAGTCCACTGAAAGCATTTCTACAGTCGGATTCTGTCTTCAGTAAGCAGTGTAGGACATCTAATCACATCTGCGTGTCAACCCAATGAGCTAGATGCTGATACCCCACTAATCATACAATAGGAAATAGAACTTGCTGAAACTTGATGGAGAGTTGGGCAGTGAACCCACACCCTTGAGAGACTAAGAGCCTGGACCATCACCATGTTACACAAAGGAGACACAGCACACACACATGTACAATTGCACATGCACAATTGCATATGCATTCTCACAATTAAGTGTAAAGGCAATGCCTGGGCTTGGCAGAGTGCACAGTGAGTAAGATAGCTCTCTGTGCAAACTTGACGACCTGCGTGCAAGTCTCTAGCATCCCCCCCCATAAAGAGAAGCATGCTTTGCTTGCAGTAACCCCAGAACTGGGGGACAGAGATAGTCAGATCCTGAGAGCGGGCTAGCAAACCAGCATAGTCAAAATGGAGAGCTTCTGGCTCAGTGAGAGGCCCTCTGTATGCGTATGCACAAATGTATGCCCTCACACACTTACAGGCATGCACTACCACACACACAACACAGTGTGGTTGTCATCTCGAACCCAAGACGTAGACCTTTTCCATGGATATGACCCTGCCTGCTAGAGGTGCTAACAGGCTGGAAGAGGAGGAGAAAGGCCCGATAATCCCCACATTGTTGACTTGCTGCACAGCAGGCCTATATGATATGTTTGAAGCATGTATCCTTCACTAAGTCTCCATGATTAGTGCTCACTGGGGACACAGAATATACATCGTTGGAATTCCTGCACTTATTCCCATTACTGCTTCAGTCAGAGCTGCTGGTAATTGGTAATTAGCAAACTTGATGGGTTCCCGTAACACCTTTCGCTCATCACCTCTTCCCCGATGGTCTGTATGGTTCACTAACATCCTTAAAATAATTAGCCTGAATAATTATCCCTCTGAGTTAAACCATGAATGTGTTTCCAAGGAAGTTTCACTAACATTTCCTCACTGTAATCGTAAAAGAGCAAAAACTAAAGAATTCTCTGGGACCGGCTTATAAGCATTCCTGAACCCCATCAGCTGATCACCAGCCTGATGCAGACTTGAGAAAAACCCAGGGACACCCCGATCTTAAGATATGACTCAGCCTGGGTTCCTCAGTCCCTAGGAGTCTGATAGACGCGTCCATGACACTCATGCACCCAGTCTTTTATTATCTGATACTCACTCTTCTCTTCCTAGGGGACCACTGGGTTCTAGGGAAGAATCTGACTTGGTGGAAACTGGCCCCAGGAAAGGGGTGGGCACTCTCAGTGATGACCAGGATGGAAAAAAAAGCCTGTGGGGGAGGTGGGGTGCCAGCTGAGGGCATACTCAGTGTAGTCTGACTTTTACACACACATTTATGGAGTACCTGATGTATGCCTGACGCAGCACTAGTCTATGGAATACCTAGTGTATGCCTGACATAGTTCTAGTCCCTCTGTGTGTAGTTTCTCTCACAGGCTCCTCCACAACCTGCAGGTGTGCAAATTGTTCTCTGGATGAGGAAAAGCTCCAGGAAGTCAACTACTTTCTCAAGATTCTAGAGTTGGTGAGGGGCAGAGCTGAGATGTGAGCCCAAGCCTGTTTGACTAGAGACACCTCTGAGTGTGAAAGCAAATGGGGGCAGGGACTCCTGCAGATCAATGTCAGGGGCTTCCCCTCTGAGCAGGGGCTTAGGAGTGGGCACTTACCTGGGCCTGGCGGGTTCTGTAACTTTTAGAGCATTGAGAAAGGACAGAGGCTTGCCTCACAGAGTCTGGAAAATGAGCGGAGCCTAGTGTAGGAGATAGGAGCATAGGGATTTCTTTAGGGATTTTCTAAGTGTGGGTTGGGAGCGGTTTGATAAACCTGAGATATAAGGCATGGAAGACTGACCTAGAGGCTGTAGTTGTGGGTAGTCTGGGACTTGGTGCGACAGTATCCATTAGGAAGGGACATGGAAGAACAGCACAGAAACACGCAATATGTGGGCAATCACTAAGAATAATGGGATGGATGGGTGGATGGATGGATAGATGGGTGGATGGATGGATGGATAGATGGGTGGATGGATAGATGGATGGATGGTGGATGGGTGGATGGGTGGATGATGGATGGACGGACGGATGGATGGGTGGATAGATGGGTGGATGGATGGATGGATGAACTAATTTCAGGAAGGCTTTTGGAGAACACAACACTTCAGAAGAGGTCATGGCTGAGGGGATGTTGATCATAGCCGTGCTCACATGCACTTGAGCTAACCCCAGACCCTCTGAATGATTGATGATGTTACAATATCTTTTCGTATCTCTGAACCTTGTTGACCCCTTACCTCCTTCAAAATCCCTAGTCTCAATTCGCCCTGGCACATCCTTTAATGCATCTTGCTTTCTATAAACCACCTAGCAACTTCAAAAGCTCAAGTGACTCCCCAGACAGAATAAAGGACCCATCTCCTTCTGTTTACTCCCCATCCTGCCCAAGGTTTATTATTTGATGTCAGGAGGTTTCCTGTGTGTGTGTGTTTTGAGAAGACGCTCCTACTGCGGTCTGAGGGCCCTGTATGCTAAGGGGTAACATGAGAACACGGGTATGTAAGATGCATCCTTCAGAACTCTTCGGGCTTTGTTGTTCAAACCTACTTTATGGTAATTCTTTGCAGATCATCCTAAATTTCACATCCATGGATCTGTTTAAGAGCCGTCTGTGCTGGTACGATTACGTGGAGGTCCGGGATGGTTACTGGAGAAAGGCCCCCCTGTTGGGTGAGTGGACTTCAGACAGCCTTAAGAGAGGAGAGATGGGCTGTTCTCCGGGATGCTCTTACTATCTGGAAGGTTCCATTGTGACAGCCGGTACAGGAAGCTCTCAAGTGCTCTTGTCGTTGTAAAACTCCAAGCGCTCCATTTGGCCACACATGTTAAAGGCTTTTAAAAACTGTCAGCACCCTGTGACCCAGCAATTCCACTTTCTTGGAATTTCTCCTAGGGAACTAATTAAGGAAGTGTGCAAAGCCCTAGCTGCAGGGAGGTTCACTGAAGCGGGCAGAATCAAAGGCAATTTAAATGTTCAACAGTAGGGGGTTAGCAGACTAAATTGTGAGCCATCTTTTCAACAGAAAATTCCCATCCATTAACAATAAAGTTGGAAGCGAGCATGTACTGATACAGAGAGATTTTCTGGCACCCTGTACCCTGCAGAGAGCGTGTTACAGAACGGAGTAAATAGAATTATTTCAAACATAAATGCGTACATGCAGATGTGTATAAGGCAGGGATTGCAAAGTAAGCTGTTATAACAGGCAGAGGCGAACAGAACGGGATCGATATGATAAAACACGGAGTCCAATTGTGTTGCCCCCAATTGTTCAAAACTAAGCTATTTAAACAATTGTGGGAGCTGAATCCAGCTGCAAGAAATCATTTCATGATTTACAATATAAATCTCAACAAAGTTAGAGATGTAAATGACTCATAGTAGTTATTTCAGGACGGTAGAGGATTTTTTTTAATGTTTCTATTCTGTTCTTGGCTTACTTATCTCTCCCAGGTTTTCTGATGGACAGGTATTACTTCTGTGGCGTAGACAAAAGTATGGATCCATCCACCAAAGGTAGCACGGACCTTTCAGCAAAAGGTCACAGGAAAATACTATAAAGAGAAAGTTTTCCCAAAATAGCTTCTCTTTTGATGACCAGGGAGGATTACTGCTTCCTGGAGGACCAGTGGTCTTGGGTCTTGGGATCCCACGCTGGGACTCACTGGCCTGAGGAAGCCAGCTATAAGGGAGCTGTGGAGAGAAACAGACCAACAAAGAGTCAGATGAAAGAGCTGCAGACAAGAGTAGGGTATCCTGGTTGCTAGAATGGTCTGTACGATAGCCTCCTGGCCTGGTCAAGTCTAAGGCTTGGATGATGACTTGGTCCCGGCAGTCCTTCATCTGTGCAGAAAAGCCACACTTACTGCAAGTGATGCACCTGGGAGGAGTCATCACCAGGGTGGCTGGCTGCAGCTGGTGATGAGAAGGAAAGCCCTGATGCTGTATTATATCCTGGGGGACCAGGATGAGACAGTTCAGGCAGGGACAGTCTCTAGGAAACCTGTAGCCTTCTGCATGAAAAACGTCAGTGTCAACTGTCAATGGGAATAGCACACAAACACCTGTAGCTAGTGGAAGAGTGAGTTTAAATTCCACAGGGTACAAACAGGTGGGGATTTGTGTCCTCCACAGAAGAGCCAGGGCAGGGTCATCGTTAGGAGAAATCCATCATTGTTGTAAGGAGGCCACTTGTTTGCTTGTTCGTTTCCCGGCTGCCCAGACTCCCGAAATAACCACACAGAAACTGAGTTAATAAAATCACTGCTTGTCCTATTCACTCTAACTTCTTATTGGCTAGCTTTTACATCTTAATTTAACCTATTTTTATATTTTATATTTTACCACAAGGCTCTTGGCCTACCGGCAAGGTTCTGGCATGTCTGTTTCCGGCAGTGGCTCCATGGCTTCTCCCCTGACTCTGCCTTCCTTCTCCCAGCATTCCCTTTAGCTCTGTTCTACTCAATCAGGCCAAGCTAGTTTCTTTATTAACCAATGGTACTCATAGCATATGGAGGGGAATCCCACATCACATCATGTAGCTAATAGTCCAGACACACAAACCAAGTGACCCCAAAAGTATGCATAGGAATGTAGGCATGGACAAGTGAGTATACTGCCCAAGACAGGGCAGAGCCTGCCTGTACTGGGTTCTGTTTCCTGCCTAAAATAAACAGCGTGGAAGTAGCAGTCAGAGAAATAGGTTGCAAGCAGCGTTGGTCAGATGTGCTCAAACGACATGGCGCAGGGCAGGGAGATGACTCAGTGAGCAAATGCTTTTCGCACCAGCATAAGGACCTGAGTTTGGATCCCTCACATAAACAGCCAGGCACTGTAGCGTGTATCCGTGACTCCAGGACTTGGGGGCAGTAGGGGAAATAGGTGGATCACTGGGCTCACTCCCCAGCCAGTTCAGGGGACTCAGTTAGGTCCGGCTTCAGCAAGAGCCCCGTCTCAACAAACAAGGTGGAGAGAGAGTGAGGAGGATACCTGACATTGACCTCTGCCCCCACATGCACCTGGGCAGATATGCAATTGTGTTCACATCCACGCACGTGTGCAAGCGCTCCTGCGCACGCCTATGCATCTCCTGAGCCCCCCCTCCCAGTGAGACTGGATTCTTGGGAGCAGCGGTTTCTAAACCTGTCTGCTCGTTGCCACCACTTCCTGGAAACTCTCTGGATAAGACTCCCGGAACGTGGCTTAGCCAGAACCCACACACATAGGTGCAGAGAATGGTCCTATTGGCCTCGCGTGCACTCCTCTCTAGTACCAAACACACAGAAAGGATGCTCACTAAGGGGTGGAGAGGTTACCTCCAAGAAAGGAAGACGTGGTTGGCAGCTTCATGTTGGGTCTTGTACATTTCTTTACTGTTTGGATCGTTTACAACAACGCTTTACGAAAGCTCCGTGAGTACAAGGACCAGAGACCCCTCAGCCTGAAAGAGACCTTCAAGTCACTGAGTCTCACAGTGCATGGCCAAGCCCAGATCCTGACATGCACTGAGTGCCTAAGGCTCAGGGGCCAGCTAGTGACTGGAATAAGGCCACAGGTCCAATATCCTGGTCTGGGGACAGGTGACTGCTAAATGTTTGCAGTTCTTCCCTCCTAAGTTGTCGGAAGAAATGCACCGTGTGTGGATTGTCTGGGAGTCAAAGTTAACCAGGCTTCCTGGAGTTTTGCTTGCCGAGGTTGGCAGCTCCACATCCCCAGGAATGGGTTAGACTAAAGCCATGGGAGGAAAGAGCCAAAGTTCCCCAGGAAGGGCCAAGGCAAGTTCCAGAGAGCGGACACGGGCTGGTTTCCAGGTATCCCCTTTGGTTGAATGGCAAGTGGGAATTTCCCCAGGGGGGATCCTGGTGTCTCTGCTGCACTCTTAGTACTAGGAGAGGACTTGCGCGCAGCTTACCAGTTTATTGATGATGGCTTAGGTTGATTTTCCTTGGGAGGCTCATCTTTTACCTGACTTGCTCCTCTCCACCCCCCCCCCGTGTGTGTGTGTGTGTGTGTGTGTGTGTGTGTGTGCGCGCGTGCACGTGCACGCGCTTGCTCTCTCACACACAGCATTGCAGCTAAGGCATGGCCGAGTGCCTAGAACCATCTTTCTTCGTCTGCAGGCGCCCTTCTTTGCCAACTATTTGGTCTGCTCTGATGTTTCCAAATGCAGTTGTTAGTGAATTTTTGTGTTTGGAACAAGTGCATTGTGCTGGCTAAGCTGGTCCCTGGGAGGGGTCAGTGCCATGAAATCTGCAGGGAGGAGGCAGGTCAATGCCCCTTTGGCAGGAGGGAGAGCGGATTAGGGCGGATTGTAAAGTAGGCATCTTGCTCTGCATCACATTTTTTTCCCAGGGCAGTGTGTGAAAATCCGGGCATAATGCGTGCATGACTTTTTATGAATGGACCCTTTATGACTCCCCGCAGAGCCCACTTGGAGCGTCCTCATCTGCATTTCCTCTTCTTGATATCCTTATTAAACGCCTCTAAACCCAGGAACCAGATTTCAGGCTAGGAACTGACACTTCTCCATGCCGGTATCTCGACAGCCTGCCCAGCCTCTTCGGAGGGAGGCTGTGTGCGACCCAGTTTCTCACTTACTGGTTTCAAAGAAAATTAAGGAGATGAGAATTTTTCACAGCTGGTTAAAGGTCACAGATGGGTTTTCCATTCCAGGGGTCACTTATCTTTAACAGGGGGTGGAAGTTCAGGGGCGATGCCCACAGAGGAGCTAGTTGGTAATCTTAAACACTGTCCCGCGATGTGGATGCCCCTCCCCTGTTGCCATTAGAGGAATTTCTGCAAGCATTGTACTTCTGTCCTCAGAACTGCCTTGGCATTCGGTGTCACCATAACACACACAAAAGCCCCTTACCCCATTTCCTGGAAACCGGGAAGGGAGTTTGGAAAGGTCAGGCCGGTGCATCGAAGTCACGTGGCCCCGCTACTGAGGCCTCCTGGGCAAGGGCAGTTTCCCAAATGAACAAAAATGAGGGCGTGAGGCCAACAGCCAAGCTTGGCACAGGAACAGACGTGCCCTGTGCTCTGAGGTCTTGATCTTCATTTGAGCCTCTTCTATTCTGAGCCGGGACATGAACATGGCCCTTCCATTCCCAGGAAACACGTTTGGTGTCTTATCCGAAATTGCACACTGTTCAGAATTACACCCAGGTTCCTTTTGATGGTGAGGGTGATGAAGGAGGTGGTGACAATGAAAACTGGATCTCAAACTGCCAAACTTCAAACCTTGCTTCCACCTCCAGCTTTGAGGCAGATGCTCTCATCCTCACCTTGCTCATCTGTGAAATGGGGACAACAGCAATACCTAATGCAGAGAAGAGCAGGGTGTCAGGTTTCTCTCGCTGTGACAAGAGAGCTGGGGGAAAATCAGCTGGAAAGAGAAAAGGTTTATCGAGCTCACAGTTCAGTCCATAGTCGTGTGACCCGAGAGCTTTTAATTTGGTGACAAGGCCAGACACACCTGGCAGGAAAAACTGCTGCTCACTTCATGGCGATAGGTGGGGGTGTGGGGACAAGGAGAAGTTATTCATTGAGAGCATACCCGCACTAATCTAGTTCCTCCTGCCTCTAAATAACCCTTAATCTACGAATCTATCAGTGATTAGACCATTGATAAGGATATCAAGAAGAGGAAATGCAGGGCAGTGTCCCAAAGCCCCACTTCTGCTCACTCGGGCCCAAACCTTCAACCCAAGAGCTTTTGGGTCACATTTAAGGTTCAAACCATCACAAGTGGGGATGAAATGAGAGACCCTGTCAAGAGCTTTAGACTGGGTCCTGCACAGGCATGGTCAGTGGCAAGGGGTGGGGGGTTCCCTTACAGCTCCTGGAATGGCAAGGGAAAGGCTGAGATGTAGGCTAAAAATTGCAGAGGTTTGGAAGATTCACTGAGGTGGAGCAACACGCAGGGGCGGGACATCCTGCAGCAGGTGTGGCAGAGGACTCTCCTTTGTAGTCGGTCCTCAGAGGCTGTGGCAGCTGGGGTTCTAAAGGAGAGACTTTTGTGTGAACTTGGACTAGATGAAGGTGCCTGCTTAGGGCTGCCGGGTCTGACTGCTCAGCGCTCTTCCTGCTGAAGGGTGGCCCTCCCTCACGTTTACCTGTTGTCTCCCCAAAATGCATCACAATAATTGGCCATACCAGATGACGTTACCCAAAGCTGATCGGCCTTTAGTATGTTATTTCTTTGTGTGTGTGTGTGTATGTGTGTGTGCGCGCGCGCACGCGCACGCGCGTGTGCGCGCACACTTGGTCACACGCACGATCACACGCATGTGCATGTTTGTATGTGCATGGGTGAACATGTATTCAGGAGCATGTATGCATATGTAGGTCAGACTACACTGGGTGCCATTCTTCAGATACCATCCACCTTTAGGCTAGCTCCTCCCCAGTGTTAGAATTACAAGCACGTACCACCATGCCTGACTTGCGTGGCTTCTAGGGCTCAAGGTCAAATCCTCATTCTCTCACAGCAAGCACTTCACTAACTGAGCCGTTTCCCTAGCCCTTCTAATGTGTTTTTTCCTTGCCAAAATCTTGGCAAAATTTTTATTGCATTGAATATGAAGACCACCAAACCCGAATGGCTGGTGGCAGCTGGAACCAGGAGGGCGCAGAGTCTACTGGCAGCCTCTGCACTGTTTCTCCTCAAAGAGTGTAAACCAGAAATGACCATTTGTGGTACTAATTCTTCCCCAGCCTTGTGCTTTTTCACTTTTCTCAGGCGAATAAAGCATAATTGCAGTGTCTAGGGCCTTGTCCAGGGCTTTACACGATGCTAAGTGTTAAAGTGCCCACTTTTTTTTTTTTTTTTTAAAAATGAGAACTGGTTACAATGAAATGTGCAATTCCAGCACTTGAGAGGCTGAGTCAGGAGGATCCATTAAGTTTGAGGCTAGCCTGGGCTACTTAGTGACGTCAGTGCCAGCCTGGGCTACACAGTGAAACTTTGGGCTTGAGACATAGTTCCTCTTTTGCCCCAAGTTGAGGCCGCTCAGGGATGCTGAAGTCCACGCCTTCCTCCAAGCCTGGGAGACACTCTATGGCTCCCCAAGGCCTGTGAACTGCGGGAAAGTGGCCCCCACACCCTCTCAGCAGCCTGTAGTCACAATGCTGTGTCACATCAGGACTGACGTGGAGAACTTTGCATGGCCGTGTCAGGGGCAAAGGTCTAGACAAGGCGCGTATACAATTTCTTACTGGATCTAGGAAGAACAAGGGCTCATGGGTCACGGTGCCCTGCTGGGCTATGTCAAGGGACCGGGGATCCCATTTTCTGTTCTCCCGGATCCTTCCGTCTCCTTGTGGTCTTTATCATCCTATTCTGGCCATCAATTAGCTTGGAGGAGGGGACAAGGAGTCAGTCCTCATGTGGCTCCATGGTGTCCCTCTGAAGTTCTTCATCCCAGGCTCCCTCTCTGGGTGTCTCCAAGCCAGCAGACTGGGAAACCCACTTTTCTTCAACCCCGCAGCTTTAGTGTTTGTTACACCTGGTCCTGAGCAAGTCAATGCTAAGAGGCTTTGGCTTCTTGTATTTTGTTTCTTGGTCTTTGGCCCCATTTCCAAGGCAAGAGCAGAAGAATGTCCATGGCCCCAAAGGAAAGGATGTGGGTGTCATCAGAAAGATACAGCAACAGTAGCTCAGCCTCCCCCCCCACCCCTGAGAGCCACCACAGGACACACACAGGGCCCTGAGGCAGGGAAACATACCTGTCATTTCCCTATATTCTGGCTGCCTGGAATCCAGACTTGTCCTTCATGGGTGCACAGCTGTGCCCCTCAGGGCCCATCTGCAGTCCGTGTGTACTGCAGAATCAGCTGTCACTTCAAGGGCCGTTGCTCACATCCTGTCTTTCCTTCAGGTTGTGGTAAGGTAAGCTCCGTGTCCACAGTGTCCTGACTGCCCTTTCCCTTTCCAGGGAGGTTTTGCGGCGATAAGGTACCCGAGCCCCTTGTCTCCTCCGACAGCCGGCTGTGGGTGGAATTCCGTAGCAGCAGCAGCATCCTGGGCAAGGGCTTCTTCGCGGTATATGAAGGTTTGTTCTTGCTGGAGCAGGTGGGCCGATGGCCACCGACAAGAGTCCTTCATTCTATCAACCTGGTTCCTTCCCAGGTGTACCAGGGAACTTGCCAGAGAGTCAGGCTTTCATCACAGGGTCTGAGCCGAGGACTGCACACTGCCTCTGTGCTGAGCTTAACTCTGTCACAGGCCCACTGAGCTCTCTTCTCATCCCAGCTGGAGTGTGGAAGGTGCAGGGTACAGGGTCCTGTAGAGGCGGCAGTAGCCTCTGACCACCCATGAAAGCCCAAGCAGAGGGGACCTTACCTCTCTGGGTTCTTGTTTCATTCGTGAAAAGAAAACCTGATACTACCCGGAGGTCCCTTTTCATGAATGGAAAAGGCTGTAAGATCACCCCAAGGGCTGCTTCTGTGGGTTTTAACTTTCCCATCTCACCAAGGAATGGAGCTAAAAAGTGGCAAATTCCCCTTTGCCTTGAATCATTGAAAATTTGGAGAAACCAAAATTTTATTTCATAAAAGGAATAGTGCACATATCTGCATGTGTGTCTGCGTGCACATAAGTGTGTGCAAGACCATGCGTTCTCTGTAGCACCTCCTTCTCCAGGCCCACCTGCGTGAGACTCCAAGGACGTGGTCAGGCTCCTACCGTTGGAATGCGTCCCCTACATGGCTACATGGCTGTCCAGAGTTTCAACTCTCCTGCCATGAAGGCTGGCTTTGTTAGACCCAGATGAAAACGCTGGCTCTTGGAGCCACCTAGTGGCAATAGGTAGCCACTCACCTGTATTTATGAGATGTGACCCTGACTGACTCTCTTTTTCATATGTTCTTTCTAAAGCCATGTGTGGGGGAGAAATTACCAAAGATGCCGGCCAAATCCAGTCTCCCAACTACCCCGACGACTACAGACCTTCCAAGGAATGTGTGTGGAGGATCACAGTGGCGGACGGCTTCCATGTGGGGCTTACCTTCCAGTCCTTTGAGGTGAGCCCTGCTGGGATGTTTTCCTGAGAGAGCGTGAGCTAACGCCTGCTCCATGCTCTACTCGATAAAGATGGCTTCTTATCGCTCCTCATGATGAAATGGCAGCACTCAGGAGGCTGAGGCAGGAGAAAAGTGTGTTTTAGGGATGGCTGGACTACATAGTGATGCTTTGTCTCAACCAAAACAAATAAACAGACACAGGATTGGGGGGTCAGGTCTGGGGAGATAGCTCAGTCAGTGAAGTGTTTTCTTGTCTTGCGGTGTGGGGCCCTGAGTTGGATCCCAAACACCCATTTTAAAGAGCCAGGCATGATGTTCCCTTGTTATCCAGAATGCAGGCAGAACCCTGGGGCTTGCCTAGCTCGTGTGCCGCAGGCTGCTGGGAAACCCTGTCTCAAAAACAGAGTAGGAGGCTTCTGGTACCTGTGGCCTACACACATGCGCATGCACGTGCACACACATACACACTCACTCATGTACACACGCATGCACACACACTCACTCACGCATTCTCTCTGACACACACACACTCTCACATCTAGAAAGAGACACATTTCCACTTTTGGTTAGGAAAAGGAAGCTAAAAGCCCATTGCAAGCCCATCTCCTTGCTTCTCTTACGCCCTATCCGGTTTGATCCACCCTGACGGTGGCAACAGGGAGAGCTGCTTCGTTAGACTTGAGAGTGATGGTTAGGATCTGATTCTGAATTAAAAATGACGTTGATGCCGGGCCAGCCAGTGTCATCCACGTGGCCTCTGTCTTTCTGTTTAGATCGAAAGGCACGACAGCTGTGCGTATGACTATCTGGAAATCCGCGACGGTCCCACAGAGGAGAGCGCCCTGATTGGCCACTTCTGTGGCTATGAGAAGCCAGAGGCTGTCAAATCCAGTGCCAACCGACTGTGGGTGAAGTTTGTGTCCGACGGCTCCATCAATAAAGCAGGCTTTGCAGCCAATTTCTTCAAGGGTATGACTTAGCAGTTTGCTTCTGTGTTCATTCACAGGCAGAAATGTTTTCTGAGAGTAGAATCCCAAATTGATATGAGGCCTTTGCTAAGGCTCCTGCAGGGAGGAGGTTGCTCGCTCAGAACTGCTAGTAGGGCCCTGTGGGGTTCATACCTGTGAGGAGAGGCCTCCACTTGACTCCTGCGAGGAGCTTTCTATTCGGGGAAATGAGAGTTAGTGAGCTTGAAGGATATGTGTGTATTTGTGTGTGTGGTAGCATGGTGACGTGCCTGTAGATACATGAATGTATGTGTATGTATGTATGTATGTATGTATGTATGTATGTATGTGTATGTATGTGTGTATGTATGTATGTGTGTATGTATGTATGTATGTATGTATGTATGTGTGTGTGTGTGTGTGGAGGTGCATGTGAGGCCTGAGGCTGACATCAGGAGTCCTTCAGATCAATTTCTACCTTCTCCTTTGTAGCAGGGTCTCTCATGTTGGCTGGCCTCACTAGGCGGCTTGCTCCACGGACCTTCTGCCTTTGGTGTTGGAATTACAAGCAGGCTGCCATGCACACCTGACGCTTATGTGGCCGTTGGGTATTTGAACTCAGGTCCTCACACTTACCTAGCAAACACTATACCTACTAAACACAGCCTCCAAGACCTAATGATTTCCCCAGGTCAAACAGACTTAGTGAAACCTGTCTGACTTCAGATCCTAGACCTTCTGCAATCTTGCCTGGCACTCCTTGGTGTGGGCCAGAAAGACAATACATGTCTTCCATGCCTGAGGGACTGGATCCCATCCTCTGTGCTTGTCCCCAAGGGACAGGGGAGGAGGAGAGCAAGGGAACACATTCCCTTGATGGTCCCAAACCCAGACCACAAAGGCAGACCCAGCACACGAAAGAGCTTCCATGTTTCCTCTGAGGGGACAATCAGAAAGCACGCCACCCTTACGAAGGACATAGGAGTATTTTCTAGGTATGGTCTACTATGACTGGGTGCCAGGAGCATGCCAGCAGCCCTTGGGAAAGATAGAGAGTCCCTGGAGCGCCTTCTCCATGGCTCCCTCCTTATTACTACTTGGTGTCCATCCACCCATACCCACTTCAGGGGGGCTGTGTCCCACGTTACTTCCTCTTTTATGTCTCCTGGCTGTGGCAGGCAGAAACCCCAATCCCTTCTCTCCAGCCCCAGCTTCCTTGTGGCTCCTTTTTTGTTTTACTATTTTAGTTTTGGAGAGAGGGTATTATACTGAAATCTAGGCTGGCCTGTAGCTCACTCGATACACGGTCATTCCTTTGCCTCAGCTTCCGTGTGCTCAGATGGCAGATGTGAATCACTGTACCTGCCCCTGCCTCTTCTTAGATGCATTTCCTAGGTTCTCCATAAAGGGGTGGCTGTGAGAAGAGCTGACTTCCAGACATAAGGCAGCCTCATTTCCTTACCGAGGCCTCAGTTTCCCCTTGTAGTACAGAGAGAAGAAAATCTGTTGAGTTGTAAAGTTCCAATGAAATGATGCCTTGGAGAGACGCTTTGCAAGCTGTTGGGTCCCCAGTGAGATGCAGGGTTATTGTTCTTCCCTTCAAGACATGCAGGGAAAATCAAGAGACAAGAGTGAAAATCTTAGTGCCCAGCTTCCTTTGACCAGTGAGGCCACAGTAGGATGCTCTGGAGCACACTGCCTGACTCTTGTATCTTTGCCAGGGGGAGGGAACTGGAAGCATAACCACAGCCTGTGGCAGAGCTGGGGTGAGCCAGAGAACCTTGTGCCTTGATGCTAGTTGGCAGTAGCCTTTGCCTGGGGCCCAGCTGGCCCATAACACTGGCCAGGGTGCCAGCTGGCCTCAGCACTGATCTCCTGGTGCCAGATGGCAGCTCCTCAGAGCCAATTGGCTAGGCAGCAGGCAGAGCCTTACACGTCTGCTTACCCTAAGAGAGGATGGTGGCATTCAGGGCTTGGCTGGTCCCACAGCCCTACACAAGGGGTGTGAAATCCCACTTGAATCCCTACACACTGGCATTCCAATGCAGAGGGACCATACGGGATGTGGGGTTGTGGTGGAGGCTTTCTTCTAGGTATTTCTTCAAAGTCCTGGGGTGTGCTCGAACTTCCCTTTCCTTACCTCTCTCTGAATTGATTTGAACATCTGGTCTGGGTCTCATTATCGAGCCACAGAATGGCTCCTTCTTTTCTTACGTACCTAGGGGATGGAAAGAAGCCAGAACTCCAGGCATAATTGACTGAGCTCTGGTTCCAGCCAATCTACCCGCACACTCTCAGATCTCCTCTGAAGGCGTGCACCGTGTGGAGTGAGCATGAGCCAGTGGGTTTGGCGCAGGTGATACCTTGCGGCACCGCGGAGGCCATGTAGAGCCAGCCAGACCCTGGCAAGAATAGTGCCCCCTTGCTTGCCAGTTACGCATGCTGGCACAGTGCTGCAGACCGCAACACAGCCCACTGCTCTGGCCGTTTTTCTCAATCTCCCTGGCTTACATATTACCCTGTTGTCTCTGCATGAGGTGCTTTCTTTGCTTTAAGTCCATCTCACCAGCGTCTCTCCCTCCACCTAGCAACAGCTATGCTAAGAATAGTGATCCCCTTTCTTGCCTCTGTCCCCACAACCACCACATTCCCTGGTGTCAGAGCCTCCCCTCCCCTTGAGTTTTTATTCATCTTTGTCTTTTCTCATGGGATCTTTTCTAAGTTTCCTCTGCCTTCTGGTCAGTTTCTCGAAACTCCTGCCCTGCTCCTGACCACACATTCCTCCTTCACTGGCTCATCTTTTGACTTTCAAGCCCCTCCCCCAGTTTTTAAAACTCTTTGGTCTTTTTGTGGGGCAGGGCTGCCATATTAGCTCGGCTTGTTTCTAGTGTTTCTTAACTAAAATGATCTCACCTACCTTTTGCCTCTGGGCTTTTATATTTCTCTAGTCTATATTTCTTTCTTATTTCTTACTCCATGGCTTTCTGGGTAGCTGGGTGGCTGGCCCCTGGTGTCCGCTCTCCTCCTCATCCCCTTCTTGCTCCTCCCTCTTCTCTTTTTCGCCTTCTATTTATTCTCTCTGCCGGGCAGACCGGCCTCTTTCTCCCTCCTGCATGACTATTGGCTGTTCAGCTCTTTATTAAACTATCAGGTGCTTTAGACAGGCAAAGTAACACAGCTTTACAGAGTTAAATGAATGCAGCATAAGAGAATGTAGCACATCTTTCATCATTAAACAAATGTTCCACAGCACAACAAATATAATACATTTTCAACTAATATTCCACAACATTTCCCTTCTCCTGCTCTTGTCCTTTGCCTCTCCTCTGTTGGAGGAGGCCACTAGCTTAGCCCCGAAATAATCACACAGAAACTGTATTATTTAAATCACTACGTGGCCCATTAGCTCTAGCATCTTATTGGCTAACTCTTACGTATTAATTTAACCCATTTCTATTAATCTGTGTATCATCACGTGGCTGTGGCTTACAGGCTAAAGTTCCAGCATCTGACTCTGGCAGGCCTACATGGTCTTCTCCTTCACTCCACCTCCTTTCTCCCAGCATTCCATTTAGTTTTCCCCGCCTAGCTCTGTTCCCCTATAGCTCTGCTATAAGTCAAAGCAGTTCCTTTATTAACCAGTGATATTCACAGCATACTCCTCCTGCCCGCTGTACTTCTGCCTGGCATGGATGAGCCCATGCCTCTTTCTCCTTCTACTGTCCCTATTGTTATCTTTCCATCTGCTGGACTAGCAAAAACTGCCTCAGAGCTTTGAAGTGACCACCTGCACACTGACTATGCACCAGTCCTTCACAGGCATCATTTTTGACCACCACAAAAGCCAAGGCCATTCTTGTCACTTTCAAACAAGAGGGAAGTTCAGAGAAACTAAACAAGCATCATCCAAGTCCATGTGATTGGATCCAATCCTACCCAGCTCACCTGAAAGCCCGGGCTCTTCTATTGCTATGTATCATCCTATATATTTTCATCTTTGCAAAAATTTTGGCAGATGTTTAAGAAAGTGCTTTGTACATTTTAACACATGAGAAAATAGTTACTTGAATACTGTTTCAGTATGTGTAGTATTACATTTATTAATGGTCACAGACAACTTTGCCTCCCTGCCTATATCATCTCTAGGTGCCCAATGGTCAGCTCACTTCAGTCTTTGTTGACTCACTTATTACTCAGAGTTACTCTGTAAAATCACCACTGAGCGAACCACTGGGGTTCTCACAACTAGATGCCCCCATTTCCTTGATCAGGATCCCATCTTTGACTGTAGCTGCTGCATATGACTGTCCAGTGTAGACACAGGGGATTTTAAGAGGTGCCCACTGAGAGTAGCTCTTGTCATAGTCACGTACATGGAACCCTAGGAAACAGAGGAGAGGATATGTACCCTGTGTCTTGGTGTCAATCAGCCCTGTCACTTTCCCTCCCCACAGAGGTGGATGAGTGTTCCTGGCCAGACCATGGTGGGTGTGAGCAACGCTGTGTGAACACGCTCGGCAGTTACACATGTGCCTGTGACCCTGGCTACGAACTGGCTGCTGACAAGAAGGCATGTGAAGGTTGGTGGTGCTGGACCTGTCAAGCTGAAATTCCAAAGATCGGAGACAGGTTTTAGGAGAAGTGGAGACAGCGATGGGCAGGTGGCTGACTATGAACTAGCGGTTCGGGAGAGCCGCTTATCTTTCTGAGGCAGAAACAAACAGGGACAGTCACAAATGTTACAGGTTCCAGCCATCCTTGAAACCACGAGACAGAGGCTGTTGCCCACTGTGAGTGTGTACAATTCGTGTGGTTGTCATGGCAAAATCACAAGAAGCTATGAGTGTTCTGTCAGGACTCAGTTGACAGCCCCTCAACTGCCTCTTTCCCATGTGGTCCGGGCTCAGCCCACCTACCCACCTATATGAATCCACTTGCTCACACAAGATAGGCACTGTGAATAGCTGGATACAGATATCTCTAACTCTCCTTTGGACCGAGACCTGTGGAACCCCCGATGGTGCTGCTGTACAACAGGTCAAGTGTTCCATCGTTACTTTAAAAGCAGTAGCTGTGTCCCCAGCTTGTTCCTCCAAAGCCTCAGTGGAAACCATTCATGTAGAGGAAAAGAATCTGCATCAGTTCAGATTATCTGTCTCCTGATTATTAAGGGGCAGCAGGTCTTCTGGGGGGAAATCGCAGTCACTTGGAACCCAACAAAGATGGAACTGAAGTCTGTTTTCCTCCGTGCAGTGGCCTGTGGTGGATTCATCACCAAGCTGAACGGCACCATCACCAGCCCCGGGTGGCCGAAGGAGTACCCCACAAACAAGAACTGTGTCTGGCAGGTGGTGGCTCCCACGCAGTACCGCATCTCCCTGCAGTTTGAAGCCTTTGAGCTGGAAGGCAATGACGTACGTTTCTGCCCTGTAACCCGTGGGGTGGTGGCCGTGTTGAGAAGGGATTCAGAACTAAGATGTGCTTCTCGGGCATCTGGGTGGCCTGGGCGAAACTGCTGCTTCTGGTGGAGACCTGGGGTGTAGACTAGGCACAGTTGGGGGTCGTGGAGAAGGATTGGTGTTTCACTGAATCTCTTTAGCTCTATGTCCTTTTCACTGTCTGGGGAAATGGGATCAAGAATGAAGGAGGCAGGAGGTGCGGGTACAGCAGTTGGAGCTGGTCCAAACTCTAAGGTGTGGATCTGGGGACGAATGTCCAGCTGAGGGGAGTACAGACCCTGAGGGCCAGCAGCAGACAAGGATACTATGAACAGCCTGTCCATATCTCTTAGAAGTAGCTATGGATGATCAAGTCAGAAGAGGCCTCAGCAGTACCCCACAGCCAGAGTGGTGACAGAGACACCCTGTGCCTGTACCTGGGAATAGGAGGAGCCCTTGGGACTACCCGTGCTTCTCCATGTACCTCTGTCACAGCCCACTCGAGGCTGTCGCTTTAACAACAGCAGCAACCTAGCTCTTACCAGCTCCATCACCCTTTAGGGAACCAAGAGAGACTTCCACATCCATAATTGCAGTGCGGGAAGCTCAAGAGATGGCTTGGCAGTTAGGAGTGAGCCCTGCGCTTACAGAGGACCCAAGTGCCATTCCCAGCACCTTTGTTGGGTGGCTTGCAACTGCATGAAACTCTCCTGACCTCCATGGCCACACACACACACACACACACACACACACACACACACACAAAACTAAAAACAGAACAAATCTTTAAAAATCAAACAAAACCAACCAAACAGGAAACCCCAATGTGTGGAAGGCTCTGGTGCCAAGCAGGGATAACCTCCTCAAAATGAGTGTTTTGCAGAAAATCAACCAACCAACCAACCAAACAAACAAACAAAAAATAGGGATTGAAAGTAACTGACCAGACATTCAGCATTTAGGCTATTTTCAAAGAAAATTCTGTGCTAATTGAGGTAACATAGATTCTAGCCCCAGCTCCACCATTGCTGAGCCGAGTGACATCTGACAAATGTCTTTCCCCTTCTGGACATCAGTTTGCCCACATGAAGCTATGATGGACTTGGACTGTGGCCATGGTTTGAAGACATCTCCCCCCGCCCCACCCCCTGCTCCCTCCTTTGCCATCTCCTAATTGCTGAAGCCCATGCCTTGTGGTAGCCCAAGATATAAATGAATATAAGCCAGTAAGGATCTTATAGTCTACTGCCAGGCAGCTGTGCCTCACAGAGCCCCGGCTGGAAAGCTGGAGTCCCTGTCACCCTCTGGCACTCATCAACACAGAGACAATGCACAAGACTCTCCAGGACTGATGGAGCCCATGTGCCCATGGGGAAGGGTGTAGTTCTGGAGCGGAGACTCTGATGAAGGCCATGAACGTCAGCAGGAGGATTTAGGAAGGGAGGAGACGGAGTCTTAGTTGTCCCCCTGAAATACAAGGGGGAGGCTACAACCAAAACGTTCTGGGACATCACAACTGTGGTGGCGGTGGCACAGAGGGAGGGATGACACACATATATGAAGTAACTGAGGGACAGCACGCTGCCCTGGCCCATGTTTCCCCACAGATCTGTAAGTATGACTTCGTAGAGGTGCGCAGTGGCCTGTCCTCCGACGCCAAGCTTCACGGCAAGTTCTGTGGCTCCGAGACTCCTGAGGTCATCACCTCACAGAGCAACAACATGCGTGTGGAGTTCAAGTCCGACAACACAGTCTCCAAGCGAGGCTTCAGGGCCCACTTCTTCTCAGGCAGGTGGGGCGGGCCTGCAGAGGCCCGAAGGCTCCCGGACACTCAGTTCCTGCAGCCTCCTCTCTGCCTTCTCTAACTTCTTCACCCTCCATTGTGATAGTAGCTTTTATGCTGGTGGTCCAGTTCATCTCCTAGGGACACCCCAACAAGTTGCCACATGCCAAATGTGGCTTAAAACAAAAAAAAATATTCTCCTTAAGATTTATGGGCCACAAATCAGAATTCAAGGCCACCACGAAGCATGTAGTGGGTACTGTTGGTCACATCACACTGGAGTGTGAAACTGTTTGGATCATTCTCTTGTGCTCAGCATTGAAGCAGGCCCATTATTTGCAAGCTTTAGAGGTACTCAGAGTTCTGTCTTTGACTTTTGGGGGAGGCGTTCTCTCACTGAGCAAGTTCTGTTTTGTGTTATGGGCACAGCACAGACCTGAACTCAGAGGTTGCCTGAATGGCATCCAGCATTGCATACGCTTGCCCTGGCTGGAGGGGCCAGAAAGACAACAACCCAGTAAGTCCTGGCATAGGGCAGGCTGACAAGGGCTGATCCTTGGAGGAGAGGGAGCCTGAGGCCGAGAGCACAGGCTCTCTGCCTGATATTTGTGATCTGGGCCAGATCTGAAGGGCTGAGGGGAGATGGTACGACTGGAAAGAAAGTGACTAAGGTCTAGAAAAGAGGGGGTGTCACGGGCTTGGATTTGAAGGTCTCAGTGTTCACAAAGACTGATAAGACTGGACTGGCAGGAGCCATGGCCATCTGAAAAGCCACAGGTGGGCCACGTCAGGCAGGCTTGGTCATAATGAGCCATGAATGCTGGATCAAGAGTGGGATCCAGTGAGACAGGATCTCTGTGGGTTCTGAGCAGGGAGGCCTACAAATGCTGCGTGATCAAACCAGGCCAGGCAGGCTGAAGCTGAGAGGGTCAGTATTCTCCCCACGGAAGGGTATGCAATGGCTGAATGAGGGGTACAGTTCCATGCTTACATACGGAACCCAGAAACAGAGGAGCTAGGTCTTAGGGGGGTAAGGACTCATGAGTGTTGGCAGGAGTACTGAGGAAGGGAGAGGGAGGGGAGTGTCCTGTACTGGGCTGTGGCTGTCGGTTTGCACTCTAAGAGCTCTGGATGGGGTTTTGGTTGTCACCACGAATCCAAGGGTGAAGTTCCAATGTGAGCTGTTCTAGAACAGCACAGCTATCACAAGAGAGTACAGAGGGAAGGCCGGCACCAATAATCCCTGAGGCTTGAATAGAGTGGGGTAGAGGCGGTGATGGGGTGGAGTGGAGGGAGACCCCCATTTACTATAGGAAGAGGGTGGCCATGGAGAGGTCCCCACCAGCCAGAGCCTCGGGAACCCCAGGATAAGAGCCAACAGTAAGGGTCACACGTAATTACAATAACCAACACTTCCTAGGGGCAAGGCATTCTCCCAAAGGCTTTCCCGATTCCCATTCGTTTCTCCCTCCAGCAACCTGAGGAGGCCCGGGACAACTGAGGCACAGCCTCAAGCACTGTCCTGATGAAGTGAAGTGGGCAGCACCCACCATGTGGCTCGTGGCCCACACACTTACCTCTCCCCACACGGGGAACAGCATGTGTCCAGACCTCCAGATCAAAATAAGCTTCTTGCTGAATGATGGGGCCTATGATTGGCCTTGGACTGCTTCTTTGTGTGTAAACTGGGGAGGGGGTGAACAGATATGCCCTTGTAAGCTTGAGTAGGAATTAACTTAGGTAACAATAGCATATAGGAAGTGCCAAGGACCCATTCGGTGGTAAATGTTCAGCAAATGTTGGTCGTTTTCATTATTGCTGCTGTTGCTGTCCACGTGAGCCTGTCCTTCAGGGAGCTCCTTGGCTTGGGTGGGAAGCAGGACAGAGAACCTAGGTCCCATGCATGAAAGTGTTTTAGGAGCACAGAGAACTCCAAAGAGACCAATGGATGCCCAAGTACCCCAAACAAAGACGCCCATTCTGTGACTGTTGCCCCTGTAAGGGAATATGATCGGGGAGGCTCCTTGGAGGAAGCAGGTTCTGAGCCACAGGGGGCAGCGGCAAGCTGTCAGCTCTTCTCAGGGGAGCCAATTGATCTCAGCAGACAAGGACGAGTGTGCCAAGGACAATGGCGGCTGCCAGCAGGAGTGTGTCAACACATTCGGGAGCTACCTGTGCAGGTGCGGGAACGGGTACCAGCTACATGAGAACGGGCATGACTGCAAAGAGGGTGAGCTGGGGACGCTGGGCTGGCACTGGGCTGCACCCACTTCTCTGGCTGTGTGGGTGGGTGAGGGAGGGTGTGGGTGGGAGTTGGCATGGGGAGCCACCATCTATAGAATGCCATGAGATTGCCCGAATCTCCACTCTGGTGGCCCTTCTATGGGGCAGCAATGAACTGTTCTAGGGACAGCCAGTCAGGAGGCCCAAGATGAGTGTCTATTGCAGACTGGTTAAGCCAGTAGGTTCCAGAATCAGTATACCTGATCTAAACTGTGGCTCTACCTTTCCCCAGCGAGGGAACCATCAGCTAGTTAAATGCTCTGAGCTTTGGTTTCCTCTTCTGTGGCAAACAGGCATCCTTCCTGAGGATTTGTAAGGATTACAGCCTGCCTAGAAAGTATTTGAGACAGCCTGACACACACGGTGTATCCTAGGTGTAGATAAAAACTAGCCCCAAGTCTTGGCCATAACACGCTGCATGTAGGACTAACATTGAAATAGAATGTAAGGAATTGTGCCGGCTCCCTTCAGTGCCAGATAGATGGCTTTGCATGTCCTGCCGATGTGGAAGAAGCCTGCCCTTAGCGTTTGCTTTACCCGCTGATGGAGTTTTGTATATCTGTGACAAATGTAGCTTCAGGCCTTGCCCCGCCCTGGGTCAGTGAAGGGTTTGGAGGATGGCAGAAGATGTGAAGACCCCATATCTCTTTTGCTTTCTTATTAGGAGAGGGGAAAAATTAGGCGAGAGAATGCTTGCAAACCCCTTACCACAGAGGAAGACAAATTCAAAGTACTAGTCACCAAGCAAGCCATGGTGCCAGCCTTGGCTAATAATAGGTGACCTGGGCGAAGCGGGCAGGCCACGGACAAGACTGCCGGGGGGGGGGGGGGAGGCATAGTGGCCCAGGGACCTCTGTTGACGTTCACTGTGGTGGCACTCTCTAGGTCTTTTTCATGTGATATTAATCCACACGTATGAGCCTGGTACTCCCGTTTACACCTGAGGCCATGAGAGGGCTTAATCCCATCAACTGTGGAACCAGAACTCTAATTGAACACCACCTGACCCAGGACCTGTGCTCTAACCAGGCGTTAACTCATCCATGTTCCCAGTGCCAATCTCCTAGTGGATGGCTGTAGTTACAAAAATGCCTCTCCTCCCTTCAAACAAAGTCAGTGCCAGGTCACACTAGATCCAGGCTGGCTGTCCGTACATTGGATATTGACCTTGAGATTCCCCTGTGATACTGGCCTGAGTTGAGCTGAATGACCCCTCTGTGTGTCCCCTTCTGACCTCCAGCTGGCTGTGCATACAAGATCAGCAGTACAGAGGGGACCCTGATGAGCCCCAACTGGCCCGACAAGTACCCCAGCCGGAAAGAATGCACCTGGAACATTTCGTCAACCGCAGGCCACAGGGTGAAAATTGTGAGTGCCTTTATTAGTTTGCTAAGGGCATAAACTCTAGGGTCAGGCGGACATGGGTTCAAGTCCCTGCTCCATGTCCAGCCTGGAGTATGTCCAGGTCTAAGTTTTGCTGCTGGAAAATGGGGGAGATCCTGAGACTCTTGCAGTGGGGGCTGCTGGGCAGCGGAAGGGAGCATGCTCAGAGCTCTGTGCACTGCTTCCAGTAGCACCACGCTGTGTGGAATTCAGTTGTCTCAGGTCTCTTACAGGATAGTGCATTCTGCAAAAGACTTAATTTTGTTGACAGGGGAAGGTCACAAGTTCTCAGGTCCCCCCATCCCCTCTCCAGAAATTTGTGAACCTCTCCAGAAGTTTCCCACACGTAGGAAAGCATGTACCTTTTTTTCTTACTCAATCACTCACATAGAATAAATACAGTTATCCATACTCCTTTGCAATCTACCTCTCTTTTTTTTTCTTTTCCTTCCTTTATTCTTTATTCATTCTTCACCTCCTACCCCCCACACCCTGACTCTCCCTTCCTGCTGTTTCCTAATCCCATTTATTTTATTTTATTTTTTTATTTATTAACAATTTCTGTCTCTTCCCCACTGCCACCTCCCCTTTCCCTCCCCTTCCCCCAATCAAGTCCCCCTCCCTCGTCAGCCCAAAGAGCAATCAGGGTTCACTGCCCTGTGGGAAGTCCAAGGACCACCCACCTCCATCCAGGTCTAGTAAGGTGAGCATCCAAGCTGCCTAGGCTCCCACAAAACCAATAGGTGCAGTAGGATCAAAAACCCATTGCCATTGTTCTTGAGGTCTCAGTAGTCCTCATTGTCCGCTATGTTCAGCAAGACCAGTTTTAACCCAGGCTTTTTCAGACCCAGGCCAGTGCAAGACTACATATCAGATATACACAGGCAAGACTCGAAATGCAAGGCGATTGTTGATTTTCTAACTGAAGGAAGAATTAGCATAGTGGTCTCACCGGTAATTGAAAGAGAGGTAGAAGTCCCTTACCTCACTTTCTGCTCTCCCATCTCCAGACATTCAATGAGTTTGAGATTGAGCAGCACCAGGAATGTGCCTATGACCACCTGGAACTGTACGATGGGACGGACAGCCTGGCCCCCATCCTCGGCCGCTTCTGTGGCAGCAAGAAGCCAGATCCCGTGGTGGCAACGGGCAGCAGTTTGTTTCTCAGGTTTTACTCAGACGCCTCGGTGCAGAGAAAAGGCTTCCAGGCTGTGCACAGCACAGGTGGGGACAGCTGCTGATTCCTCACAGGCTCCGAACTGGTGAAGGACCGCTCTCGGGCTGTCTGCCAGGGTGGGGCGAGGAGGGTGGCATCCTCAAACATCCCCGTTGGAAGAAACACCATTGGCTAAGGTTGTTCTCTTTTGATGTGGGTGGCACTTTGTTGGTGCTGTCCCCCCCCTCCCCCCCCCGTTTCTCCCTTTAAAAATGTGTTTGTCATCTTGCTGGCCTGCGAAGTGCGCAGGTCTGAGAAGTGAGTGGTGGAGAGCTGCCATTTCGCCCTCAAGGGGCCACTTCTGGAAAATGTTGCTTTTCTTTGTCATTTTTTTCTTCTTCTTTTTTTCCTGGCACTCCAAATGTCAGTAGCTCTGCTGGGTCCTTTGGAAGAAAATGTGTCTGCTTCCAACTTATCTACACTGTTAAATCTAAAAAAGTCAATAAGGAAGTGGACTCTGCCTGGCCATTTCAGTCTTAGCCCTGTGGAGGAATGCAGGCCCTTGGATCCTGGCATTTAATTGTGGCAGAGCCAGAGGCTTCTCAAGAACCTACCTGTGGCTTTTGTCTGTGGTACTGAGCAGGAGGTCATGATCGCGACACTGCCATTCTTTTTAACAGTCCCGCCCCCTTTTCCTCCACCCCCTTAAGTCGGGGCCAGAACGCATGAGTTAGAGCAAACGGAATGGCAGCCCCATGCCCACTTGTCCCTTCTTAGGCAGACACCTCCCCACTTCATGAGGATCTATACTTCCCCCACAGTGGTTTAGAGTCACAGGTGAGTGATTTCATCTTCTCATCCTTAGGGGACAGAGAGCTGGCTCAGTGATTCAGAGCACCGGCTGCTCTTACAGAGGACCTGGGTTCGATTCCCTGCACCCACATGGTGGCTCACAACTGTCTGTAACTCCGGTTTCAGGGAATCTGATGTCTTCTGGTATTCACAGATACTATAAGCACATGGTACACATAAATACAGAAAGACAAAACATCCCTACACATAGAATAAAAGTTAAATAGAACATAGGTTCCCCGGGGTGGGTGGGTTAGGGTCTCAGTGGGAAGTTGGAGCATACTTGGGAAATATTTGCAGGGACTGTTTACAGCAGGGCTTGCAGAACATGGGGACACCTCAGGGGACGGGGCAGGGTTTGAGAACCACCAGAATATAGAGTCACTCCAGCCCAGAAAGCAAATGGGAGAATGGGCAGGAGAGTACTGCAAGACAAGTGCCTAACGTCACTGGGGTGGTGGGTGGTGGTGGTACAGCAGGTGGGGAAGGAGGCATCCTGCCCTCTTTGTGTTCCTTGTGTGTCTCAAGAGCTGAAAGGCAGGTCAGACATAAAGAGACGGTAGCTGGAGTAAGGACTCAGGGTTGGACAGGGCCTGGCCAACCCAGGTGAACAACTCCAGCTGGGATGTTAAGAACAAAATAATTCACAATCCACTCCAGAAGTGCCTCTGCGTCCCCACCCCCACCCCTCCACTGCACCCCCCCCCCAACCCTGCATTCATAATCCCTTCTAGTAGAAACAGGTTTTTGTGTTGTTTGGCTCAGCTGCAGTTTTGATGTGCTTTTATCGCCCTCTACTGGAGTAGTTAAGTCAGTCCTACAACCAGTCAGGCAAGCCACCCACCCTTCTCCTTTCTCCCCTTGGTGGAGAGAGGGCAACAGCTAGCCTTTTTCAACAGCATTCTTGGGCCCGTTTGGATGCCCCAGGGAGTCCTGCCTTCTGTACCACTGCCTCGGCAGTAGGGTGGTGAGGTTGCTGATGTAACCTCTTCTGTAAGACGTGCAATGACTTCAGGGGAGCTGATTGGAAGTGGTGGGCTGACGCTCAGGCTCTGGGCGCCCAGGGAAAGAGTGACTCTTTGCTGTCTCTACTGCAGAGTGCGGGGGCAGGCTGAAGGCTGAGGTGCAGACCAAAGAGCTCTATTCCCATGCCCAGTTTGGGGACAACAACTACCAGAGCCAGGCCCGCTGTGACTGGGTAATAGTGGCCGAGGACGGCTATGGAGTGGAGCTGGTTTTCCGGACCTTTGAAGTGGAGGAGGAGGCAGACTGTGGTTATGACTACATGGAGGCCTATGATGGTTACGACAGCTCGGCGCCCAGGCTTGGCCGCTTCTGCGGCTCAGGGGTGAGTCTGAGGGATGCCCAGGCTACCTCCTGACAGCATGCCTAGCTGGAATCCTGCCACTGTGAGCCACAGCCAGAAGTCCGCTTTTCTGTGGCAGAGGGGAAAGGAGAATCCCCAGAGACAGTTGGGGATGCAGCCAGGGACATCATACGAAGAAGACTAGCCTTTCTCACATCGCCTCTGTTTTTGAGTCCTCTCCCTCATTTTTATTTGGCCCTTGGGCTTTATTAATCCATTGTGTGTGTGTGTGTGTATATATATATGTATATATATGTGTGTGTGTGTATGTATATATGTATATATATATGAAATTCTTATCATAAGCAAAACCAAGTGTCTATGAAGATTACAAATTATTCCTGGTATAAACACAATGTTTATATTCAAGGTCATTACTTTTCTCTTTATTACCCACTTCCTGGGCTTACTATATGGCTGGCACCCAACTCACAGTAGACGTGTAGTCTGTGCTCACTGGGTGTATAGGAACAAGTAAGTACAATGTCCTAGCCATCCCCCAGCGACGCCACATGATACACTGTCTGTCCTGGGCTTCAGCCCTTGTCTCTGCTGATCGCCCACGCTTCTTTGCCTGGGCTTACGCAAATCATCTTGGAATTACCACTGCTCCTGGTGCAAAACAGATATTCAGCCTGGTGTTCCCGTCTCTGAATCATTATCCTTCTGCCTTTTGTTGTCCTCCCCAAAAGAAAGAACAACCAGATGAGACCTCCTGATGCACTGCCTTTGATAAAATTTCTGGAACCAAGGAGTCCATGGAGAGGAGCCCCTTGGAGATCTTAATTAGCAGGAAGTTGCCTCTGGCATCCCTAGGATCTGGGCAGGCAGTGGCCTTGGCATCTGGCTCAAATGCCATTCCAGATGACCTGGCACAAGTCTCTTGACAAGCACAGCAGCTCCCCCCACTTGTTGGCCGTGACAGAATGTAGACCTGAACAATGGTTTCCGTTCCAGGTTTCCTGACAGATGCATCACAGCATTAAAAATCACAGAGCAGGAGGGCCACAGAGCAAGCTTCACAGTCAGAAACGCCCGAGTGTGGATCCTGCTAACCTGTGTGACGCAGCATCCTTACACGTAAACTGGAGTCAGTGCCTGCCTTATTACACACTTGTGAAGTTGGCATTAGATGAGATCCAGATGAGGTTAGCACAGTGTCAGGCCTGCCTGTGCCCTGATAGCACATAGATGCTGTGTGTGCTACGTGTCTAGGCTCAGCTTTGTAAAGCAGGGCTCAAGGAATCTTCCTTTGACAAGTGTCGTTGGGCTGCCCTAGATTGGGAGCCACCTTTTTGGGGTAACTACGGTCACAATCCTAGCTGTGGCAGGTACCTACGTTCCAGGGTAGGGGCATGAGGATTAGAAAAGTAGGAGGAACAGAAAGAATAAGAAATAAGAAAGAAACACAGACATAGGATAGTTCCGGAGGACAGCTCAGTGCATGCTACATGCCGAGTTCTGAGTCCACCCATGTTTAATTTTTCTATACACTTTTATACCCCAATACAATGGGGAGGGGGCCAGGGAGAAGGCAAAAGAACAGTTGCTTGATTCAATACTTGAAACATCAAGCCATTAATTCTCGAGAAAAGCATTCTCTTGTTTAGGCAGTGAACCTGCCCTAGACCAAGTATCCTGAAGGCAGCTACTCCCTAAGTCAAGCCTTCTAATACAAAAGAAGAAGCAGAAATATGCTTGAATTCTCTGACTTTGGTCAGGGTGGAAAGGATCTACCTCTATGGGCCATCTTAATGTCCAAAACACCAAGTAACCACACACTAGGTCAGGGTGCATAGCCACAGTTGTTGTCAACAACTTTGGGCAAGCTGAAACTCTCTGGCCTGGAGACAAGGTGGAATAGGGTCACATTTTGGGGCCTCCACAGACAAGGAGCCTGCTTAAATGCCCACCAGAGCTTCTGGTGACCTCCTGGCAGCCATGGCCACCCTTGGACACCATCTCAGTACACCCTCCTCTACATCCCAACAATAACAGACTGACCTAATCTAGCTTTCCTTTTCCTTGTCCTCAGCCATTAGAGGAAATCTACTCTGCAGGGGATTCTCTGATGATCCGGTTCCACACGGACGACACCATCAACAAGAAAGGCTTTCATGCCCAATACACCAGCACCAAGTTCCAGGATGCCCTGCACATGAGGAAATAGCGTCAGGGTCCTGGGAAGACAGAGCCTAAGGCTGCTTTAAATATCTGTGAATGAGTATCCCCCAGTGTACAGTATTTTTCTCAACAACAAAAACTCAAACTACATCCTTGAAACTAGATATCTGGGTGAAAGTACCTGCCTTTGGCCTCTAGGAAGAGAACCAGTGTCCTGTTGGTTCCGGCTGCAGTGTTAGGGACTGCAGCTTCTAAGGAGGCTAAAATTTGAAGTTAGCGACCAAGCCAGCCGTGCTTCTTCATACTCGTTCTCCAACCCTTGCTCCCATGGGGCAAAAGGCCAGCCTGGGCTACCCCTTCCTCAACTCTGGACTGGCTTCCCTAGGTGACAGGCAACATGAGCCTATTCTGCTGATGTGGCTGCCTCCTGTCTGCACTGGGCATCGAGGATAAAAACGTGGCAGTGGCTAAATTGTTCCAGGAGTGGCTGAAAGATTTTACTTAGCCCTTCCAGAGTCAAGCCAATCAGGAAACATGAGACTACGGACACAAATTTAAAGAGGCATCCCAGTGCACAGAGAGAGAGAGAGGAGGCTTAGCCTGGGAACCAGCATCATGGAGTTGGAAGACCTCAAGTCCTTTCCTGCCACTGGCCGTACTTGCCTCCTCTAGGGTGCTCCTATCATTAATCTCCATTCACGAGAGAGAATCCGTGGCCACTCCCAGGAGAACGCTCGCTGGTGAGCACCCCAGGTTGCTGAGATGTCGCTCAGAGGCTGAGAGGATGCCACCTGTGCTGGGGTTCCCACTGGCTCCCAAGCACCCCCCAACTGTGGAGGTACTTGCTCTAGTGAGCCTCGACCCTTGGACAGCCAACTCAAACAACATCCGCAAGACTTGCCAAGTCATCTCAGGAACAATCTAGGTCTCGTTAGGTGAAAACTAGTAATTCCAAGTTATGTAAGTGTCACCATCTTCTGGAACAAGTCAGCCTGTGGAGTGCTTCATGTCACCAGGTTAAAGAGTGCACTGGCAACTTTGCTGCAATTAAGCAGGACGCGGCCATCAACCTGCGGGCGGGATTCTCAACACTCCAGCACTTATTCTAGAGAAGTGTAGAGGGTGATGTTTACATAATTTTAGCACCTCAAGGTATAGTTGAAATAGTGAGGTAATTTTGAATGGCATTTCATTAAGGCATCTCTGGGCATTATGAGCTAAGAGCTGTGGTATGTTAGCTTTATGAGAGCATTTATGTTGGAATACTTTTAAACTATTGTTTACACAACCGCAAGTCCTGTTGGGTTGGCACAGGAGAGTGATTCCGTTAGAGGCGGCGTAGCTCCCGAGCACACGAATCCCTTTATGATGGGCCAGCATCTTAAACGAAGTGTTTGTGAAAGCTGAAGGTTTCTCTTTCTTAAAGAGGTCGCAGTATTACAATCTGATACCCGATTGAAAGATTGCTGGGAGCAAAAACTAGAATGAAACAAAGACAGGGGAAAGAAACGCTTGGGAGTATTTTGTTCTTAAACCAGAAAAAAGTATTATTATTATTATTAATAATATATGTCTGTATATATGTATCTATGTATGTAAGGATCAGCTATCCAAGCCTTAATCAGGGCAGCATGACAGTGCCAAGGCACTGGCTGTGGCTTGTCATCAAATCCGGTGCTGGCCCCACACGTTACCCTCTCCCTTCGAAACCGAGAGCTCTTCCAGCTCCTCTTGACCCCGGACTGAGGCTCGGCCTCCTTTATAGGACCTGATTGCTGGCACACCCACCCAGGGAGAGTTTTATTCCATTGCAAAAGAGACAGCTTATCCCATTGTTCCAGACCGATCAGCCCACTGTGGTAGATTCCACTTCTCTGGTGTGTGTGTGTTTAGGTTTTATTTTTGTCTCGTTTTGTCTCTCAAGGGTGGAACAGAAATCAGGAGGCATAAGGTATCTGTCACCAACCTCATTCCACAGAGATAAAAATTTTGTATTTTTAACCTTTAGAAGTCTAAATGAGATTGACAAACTCCATGGAAAATGGGAGTTGGGGAGAGCTGGGGTTTGTCGCCTTGGAGACACACGAATAATGCTTTTAGTGTGTGTGATTTCACGAGCACGCAGCTCCAGCAGAGGCCAACCTGGAGCAATGCGGCTCTCATGGAAGCCCTGATGTAGGCCTGTGAGTGACAGATTCCCAGAAGACAGTCTCTGGTTCAACAAGGGCTGTTGGGGGCCCCTTCTCTGGAATCCACACATGACACAGGTCCTGCAAAGAACCATAGGCTGGCTTCCAAGAATGGTTCACTCTGCAGAAGGACCCAGGTACCCCCACTTTGGCCCTTCCGATTGCTCAGTGGCCTTGCTGAAAATGTCCCTGGGTATGCATGGATAAAGGGGCTCAAGGATAACCCTTTATTTTGCCCTCCCTTTTGTCTGGGACCAAGCCTGTGGGTGTCCTGGAGCTCTAAGACCCAAGAACTGCCTCTGCAATGAACGACTTAAGGAAGTATTTGGAACTTGGGTCTCTGGCACTAATTCCAGTGTACTCTGAATTAGCAGAAGCTAGAACCTGTACCTCAGGGTGGAAGACTCCAAACAGCTGAGATGAGGCTATGCATTGAGTCACTATTTTCTCTAAAGTTTCTCTCTCAGAGGTCCCCGCTACACAGTCATAAGTTACTCAGCCTGTTTAGATAATTCTCTAAACACAGTTAACCCGCAAATTCATGTAAGAGCAAGCCGTCAGTTTGGCCCCTTTGCAGCTCTTTGGAGTTCTTGAAGTTTTTTGTTCATGGAGTTTGGGAAGAGAGGGTCCTTTAGCATCCATGGATGTTTTTGAAGTTTGCTTTGAGGATTGTGATCAAACTTCTGATCAGTAACCCCGAAAATCTAAAAAGGTTTTTAAAAAGTGTTATCCATACATATAAGTGTATTTTTTTTATTTTGAGTAACTTTACATTTCATGTAAAATGTCAGTTGGTAAGAACATGGGGAGATGGTAATCCATGTCTAAAAATGATGGTTTCATTAAAAAATGTGGATTTGCCTCTGTGTTCTGAGTTTGTGTTACTGGTTTAGACAACATTGGCTTTTTAAAAATATATTTATTTTTATTCTGTGTTTGAGTGTTTGCCTACATGTATGTATGTATATGAAGACATATGATTTCCTGGAATGGGAATTACAGAGATAGATGAACCACCATGTAGGTAATGGGCACTGAACCCAGGTCCTTGTCCAGAGCAGCAGATGCTCTTAACCGTTGAGCCACCTCTCCAGTCTCTGTTACCGACAGTTTAGAGAACATTTGGAAAAATCAGAACAAGTCCACTATGAAATGAAACCCTGACCCTCATGTGATATCAGGGGGAAAGCCAAACCCTGGCCGCTGGGTGGTTATATCAGGGGGTGAGCCAAACCTGACTCTATTGTCCTCTCTTGGTGGCTTTGATGAAGTGATTAGATTATTTATTGTAATTCTTTTTGTTAGCAACTCACTGTTTTGTGTGCTTGTATATTTGTAGTGCATGTTCTTGTGTGTGTGTGTGTGTGTGTGTGTTGTGCGTGTGTGCTTGTTTGTATGTGCATGTATGGAGGTTAGGGGTTAATGTTGCTATGGTATTGGCCTCTATCTCTCCACACCATAGTTTTTGAGGGGGAGTCTCTTAATTGAATCTGGGGTTAATCAGTTCAGCTAGGCTGACTGGCCAGTGCGTTCCAGGGATGTAGGGACATCCTGCCTCCCCCCCGTCCCTTCAGTGCTTGGCAGGTGCACTACTGACTGAGCTGTCTTTCCAGCCCTACTGTTTTAAGAGGCAAACTCACGACTGAAATCATAAGCTATTGAAAGCAGCCTCAGCGCTGAGAGACTAGTTCTCAAGATGCAAGGACAGAAAGCTGGAGGGTGGCCGTGGACTGCTGGGTGTGTTGTTCACTGCGGTAGCCACAGCCCTGTCTCACACAGAGTGTCCTCAGCACCTTTCATGCAGCCATGCCTTGTGCTGATTCGGATGCCATGTTGCCCATACAATGGCTAGCTTTCTCTCTCTCTCTCTCTCTCTCTCTCTCTCTCTCTCTCTCTCTCTGTGTGTGTGTGTGTGTGTGTGTATGGTGTGTCTCTGTCCACAGAGGTCAGAAGAAGATGTAGGATTCCCATTCCCTGGAGCCGTAGTTACAGCAGTTGGGAGCTGTCTAAAGGGAATGCTAGGAACTGAGCTCCAGACCTCGGCAAGAGCGGTGCGTGATCTCAACTACTGAGCCGTCTCTCAGCCCTGTCGCTGTCTCTCCAGTCCTGTCACCCATTGTTTCTAATAAACTGCCAGCTGCCAGAGCGCCGAACTCTCACACCAGCTTGTGACTTCTTTGCTGCGTAGTTAAAGGGACAGAAAATAAAGACAAAGAGAAGGGAGGCTCGAGCCACGTGCCATGTGCAGGAGACAGAAGCGTCACAGCTGAGGGCTTGGCTACTCCCCTGACCATACATGGCGTGGCAAGGGCTTTCCTGGGACTATCTCTAGCCCTGCCTCTGCAGCATTCCCAGCTGGTGTCCTACAAATGGGAGACACTGGCCCACAGTGCCAGTGACAGAGAAGCTTGCCAAGGGAGCCTGGTAGAGATGGTGAGTAGGAGCCAGAGTCTTTCTCAGCTGGACGGCTGGTCTCTTGGTTCAATACCTATAAATGTACCTTTGTACAAAGTTCTGGAGCTTGGTTTTCAATTTTTCCCCTAGGTACAAAATGCTAATGGAAAATGGCATCATATAGGTGCTGATCTCAACTTTTACCTGATGTGAAGGTTTTCTTGTTCAGCCTTCCACATAACCAAGATGCAGGGGAGGTCTGTGTTTCCTGGTGGAAGGCTTGGGTTTGGATCAGCAGTCTCGTCTTTACTTGTTCAGTCTTCTGCCTGCTGCTTTCTCAGCAGTGTGGACCAGAAGCTCTCACCTTTCTTACTGATGTGTGGTGCATATTTGGTGTGACTTGGCCAGGGGAAGTTTGTTCAACCAGGAAGGAAATCAGGAGGCTTCTAGGGTTTCTTTTTTTTAATGTGTGCAAGTTCTAGACTTTATAGATGAGTATATCTATATCTATATCTATATCTATATCTATATCTATATCTATATCTATATCTATATCTATATCTATATACTGTGTGTATATACACACAGATGTATGAGTAATTTTATGATCATAAATGTTACACACACACATATATATGAGTGTATATACAAACAAATACATGGTCATAAATGTTATGGGCACACACACATTGACTTGAAAGGAGAAGAGAAACTGAGAGTGGTGATAGGGGAAGATAGTAGGGTGGCAGGGGCATGCTTAAAGTATATTACATATTTATATGAAAATGGCCTTGAATTTAATATATAACTTAAAAGTATGTAAAAGTATATAACATATAATAAATATTATGTACAACTTAAAAGTTAAGATGGCTTTGGTTATAAACAGTTTATAATCTCTAATTATTGTTATTTTACTTATTTTAGGAGGAAAAACAGATAGAAGCCAAACTCTTGCCAAGCTGTGCTTATTTAAGGCCTCATTGCTGGAAATTAGATTTGTTCCAGCAGGGTGTCTCAGATGGGTTGAGTTGAGATCAGAGATCAACTCTTCCATTAATACGATACTTTTGCAGTCATTCTGAACCAAGATCAGCTATTGAAGGGTGTACTACAGTGGTTTGTGTACAGGAACTTCTCTGGCTCAGGGCCACTAAAACTTGTGAAGTCTTCTGAAAATACCCAGGTGACCGCCAATGGACGAGTGACTAAGGGAACGGTGGCGCTCTTATGCTAGGTAGTATTCAGTGTGTGTGTGTGTGTGTGTGTGTGTGTGTGCGTGTGTGTGTGTGTATACATGTGTACGCACGTGATATTCCTGACTGATTACTGTCCAGCCCTTACAGAGGAGATCCTGAGGTTTACCTCAACCTTGAGGGGTTGGAGGACTTTATGCTGAAGGAGGCATGTCAACCACAACTATTGCAGATCTCACTAGAATTTAAAGAGAAGTGATAGGAAGTCATGGGAGTTGGGGGACCCTGTGAATATTCACCACTGACCTCCAGAAGGAAGTGCACCTTGGTCTAGGTTTCCACACCTGGGCTGCAGGGTTATGAGACGTCAGCAGAGCAGAGTTAATGGCAGTGACTGACTTGTTCTCTCCCCCTGCCAATGGCATTAAACCCATGAGGGATACTCAGCCTCAGAAGGGTCAGGGCCTTCAGACACATTCTATGGCTGTGACGCAGGTCCGCAGTTCAGTTTCTTTGGCTGTGGCTGCTTGACACTGACAAACCCATCCCACCCGGAACATCTGCAGGTTGGAAGGAGCTGCCACAGACAATGCATCCCTTGGGCTTTTCCTGGGAAGTGGGGAGGACAAGCCACAGTATCCCATTTCCAGAATGGAAAAAACGAGCCTGGCAGGATAAAGGGGCTGTGGGGATATGGAGACCAGAAAATTTGTCTTCTCCAAGATCACATAACTTCGAAGTGGCAAAGCCTGTACCCAAATCTAGATGGAGTGGCTCAGAGCCCAGGGTTGCTTCACCCCACCCAGCTGCATCTCTAGAGGGCACCGTGCCCTCCTTTCCTCTCCATGACAGCATGGCACTGTGTTTCCACAAAATATGAAAGTCTTTCTGAAATTGGCCAAAATCTTCGTCATCTGGATGTTGATAAACAATGCATGCAAAAGGCCCACTTGTTGCTCGCAGCCCTCTTCTTCCATCTCTCCCAAAGGAAGCTTTGTCTATGGCCCCCTGACATCATCACTGATGAGCTAAGTCTGTGCAGCTGCACACACCATAGCAATCAGAGAGTGCCCTTGGGGCACCTGTAGCCTCGGGTAGTGTCAGCATCAAGGCAGTGCTTGGAGCCCTTGGGCAAGGAGACCCTGATCTGAGAGTCCCAGATGCCACCCCAGCTCTAGTAGCTCAGAAGAGGGGTACTGACTCAGCTGCAGAAACTGAGGGGTTGCTGGGAAGCCCTGAGGGGTGGTGGTAGGGAAATGTCACCAGTGGACGCGGTTCTGGTGATAGCTGGCTTAACTGTGTGATGACCTATACACAGGCTTGGGAGATGTGGCAGAGCAGTGGGTAAAGTCACTGTTGTGACGTGTGAGGGGCTGTCTCTAAAGGATGTACCTTTAGGGTGGAGTCAGGGTAGTATAGGTTACACGCTCTTAAAACACTTTATATTCTCCAAGGCTTTCCCCATTCTTTAGCCCACGTGACCTCCAGCCCCCAGATGATCTGGTTTTCTTGAGTTTGCACATGTAGGGCTGTGTGATCTGAACCCCGCCTTGGGCTCTCTGGTCTGGATCCATCCTTGGCCTGAATCTGGACCCAGGATCAGTATAGGCCGCCTGTTTCAGGCAAGAGCACCAACTGTCCTGACCGATGCATGCCATAACTTCCCATGAGTCCCTGGGATGCACTCTTCCACCCCTGACAATGAAGTCCTGGGTATAAAATGACCCTGGAGACACTTGAGGCCCAATATATTCCCATTCTTTCGAAAACTTTATTTTTTATTATTATTTCTATTTTCGGGAAGGAGGTGTGCTCATGCCACGGCAGGTATGCGTGGGTCAGAGAACAACCTTGTGGAGGTTTATGTGGGTCCCAGGGATGGAACTCAGGTCATCAGGCCTGTGTGGCAAGTGCTTCTTCTGCTGAGCCATCCCTCTGCTCCCACCCCAGGACGTCTACTGTCAGAAAACACTTCATGTTAAACTTTAGCAAATGTGTTGCTGGTTGAGGGACAGACCCAGTCTTGGAGGGCTGTAGGCGAGATCAAGAGCTGGGGGCAGGAGGAATCGGGATGTCAGGAGATCGGACTAGAGGAGGGTCCAGCCAGGAACCAGGAATAAGGATGGATGTAAGTCCGGAAGGTAGAGGGAAGAACCAGAACCAGGGAAGGCCCCTGGCTAAGCCATAGCAGGCTCCACAGATTGCTCCCATCAACAGGGAAAGGACTTGGTAGAGCAGCCCGGAAAGACGTGCCAATCAGCCCACACTGGGGAACGATGGGCAGGGGTGAGGGAGCAGAAAGGAGCCGCCAGAGGCCTTGGCAGGACCTTACCCTGATAAGAGGTGTGTGCAGGAAATTTGGTATGCATGGGGTAAAACGTTTATATGTTGATTACCGGCAATAGGGAGGGATAAGCCAGGTGCAGAGGGAGCTCCAGGGAGAGAGTCCCTGGTCCAGCTCCCTGCTACCCTGACTGGCTCAATCCATGGCCAGGGCCTCAGCTCAGACTTGATAAAAAAAAACCCTCAGCAGCCTTCTCTCTCCCTCTCTCCCTCTCTGGTTAACTCTCCTGAGAAGGTGGTTAACAGTCAGGGGTTGCCTCATACCCTTTGAGGGAAAGATTCGCTTTAAGTTGAAACTATTATTAAAACTTCTAAATTCTCAGTTCTCCCTTTGAAAGACATTCTGGGAAAAAAACAGTTTTCAGCATTTTGATAGGCCTCCCAGTCCAGCCCTGGCTGGGGAGCGGGAGAGGGAGAAGGAAAGCCCGCTGCCGTTGGCACAGGAGGTTGGCACAGGTCTTCACTACAGGATTCTGTATTGACTACGTTCTTAGGCTGACACTGGGAACTGAGAGGCGGCAGCGGAGCCCATCTCTGGGTTCAGTTCACCTTTGCAGGGGTTGCTAAGGCTTTGAGGCAGAGGTTCGGGAGGTTGCTAACTGTTACTGGGAGTTTTACTGTTTCTTTGTCTCTTGCAGAGCTTTTCGCTGAACTTCACGCTGCCAGCGAATACGGTAAGCAGAGCGTCAAATCACTATCTCCAGGCAAGTCGGAGAGGGTCAAGGTAGAACTCCCGGTTGGGGGTGGGGAGTGTGGGGGGGTGTCTCGTGAACTCTGTCCCACGTGCCCTGAATATTGGGATTAAATGCACAGTCTGTATCGAGTGGTGCTAAGAGCAACGTTTGTTTGAATTTAAATTAACGCCCCCCCCGTGGTGTGTGTGTGTGTGTGTGTGTGTAGTATGGGCATACATGTGCCATAGCGTGTATAGGGGGCCACTTGCTGGAGGGAGCCAGTTCTCTCCTTCCACCATGTGGTCTCAGGGATTGAACTCAGGCCATGAAGCTTTGCAGCAGGTTCCTCTACCCACTAAGCTGTCTCTCCAGCCCTGAGAACAATGTTTTTATCTTAAAAAAAAGTATAAATGAACATTTTGAGAAAGAAAATAAAATTCCTAAATTCCCACCAACAGAAAACACCAGGACAGCGCCCCCTGCTGTCTGACTTGCTCTTCCCACTGTGTGTTCTTACTCTACATATAATTAAGTACCATAAATATTTTCCATCAATCTTTATAACCACCACTGAGGATAGTCACACAATACTTCTTCATGTGGCTTGTTTTATGTAATGAGTTCCAGACAGGAGCAGCTCTGTGATGAACATCATTATAGACAAGACTTGTCTATAGTTTCCTTTTTGAGACAAGGGCTCCCAATGTATCTCTGATTGGCCTTGAACCTGCGATGCCCCCACTCCACCTCCCTAGTGCATGTGCCACTATGTCTGCCTGCATCTGTATTTGAGATGACTTCCTAAGTGTGGAGTCTGGGAAGAGAGTGACTGGGCCAATCAAGAATGAACATGTTCAGTGGGTGAGGTCTTTGCTACAGCCTATAACCTAAGGCTGCGTTACCTTACACGAGTCACTTCCCTTCCGTGTGCCTCGTTCTTCTCACCTGTAAAACAGGGCCCATATTGGTCCTGCTTCACTGGGTGCTGTGGTGTGAGACAGATAATGTGGGAAAAGGGCTAGGACAGCCTAGCACACAATGGACGCTCCACAAGCATCAGCTGTGCAATTAGCAGGAGCTCATGAGGAGAGATGGGGAGAGGGAAGCCTCACCCAAGCTCCCTTTCCTACCTCTAGGCTCTAGAGAAGTCTCTCTCTCTCTCTCTCTCTCTCTCTCTCTCTCTCTCTCTCTCTCTCTCTCTCCTTTCTCTCTGTCTGTCTCTCTCTGTCTCTGTCTCTCTCTCTCTCTCACACACACACACACATATACACACACACCAAGCTCCGCTAGGTGCCTCTGTACCCTGGCTGTTAACTGCCTTACAAAATATTATTTAGAAACCAGCTCTTGTCCATAGTCCAAAATAGCCTTGAACTCCAGTTACCACTGTCTCTGTCTTCCAAGTGCTAGTTGAGATTAAAGACACGTACCCACTATACCTGATATGTTTTTAGTTTGGGCCCTAACCAGCCTGAGTAAATTTTTATACTTTGAAGACAGAATACCTTAGCTGAACCAGGAGGTGACTCTTCCTGCCATCCTCAGAAAGACAATACTTTATACAGCTGCAGGACCCCAGTGATATGAGGGTGTGGGGTTGTGTTTGTGTGAAAACAGCCTTCTAAGGAACAACAGTCAACACTGTCAACGTCCTTGATGGGAGCTCACTAGGAAAGAGGTCTGTCCTGAAATTCCAATGTGCAAGCTCAGGTTAGATTCATCCGTGGAAACTTGGTTCTGAGTTGTCTAAGTTCACTGAGGTCTGTTTTACCTTTCCCAGAGATGCTAACTATAGAAAGGCTGGGGACACTATTGTGGCCATCAAGATCACTGAGAGGGTTAAATAAAAACAGACCTGGCCAGGGCTGTGAACACAAGGTCATGATTGTGGTGCTCATGTGATCCCTAACACCCCCAGAACTAGGCTGTTGCCATCCCAATTTTACTTGTTTTTCTTTTTCCACCTCCATGCATGTATATGTGGTGTGCATTCATGTGTATGCATGTTTTGATGTCTGTGTGTACATGCACATGTATGTGCATATGAGGGCCCACGGTTGATGCTGGGAATCATCCTCCGTGACTCTTCCACCTTATTCACTGATGTAGGATCTCTCAGCCAAACCCAGAACTCACTGGCACAGCTCTGGCTTTAGGAATTCCATCCCTGCCTTCCAAACCTGAAATGACAGGAAGATCATGACTCCCAACCACATGCTTACATGTGTTCTGGGGATTTGATCTCTGGTTCTAAAACTTAGCCACTGAGCCACCTCCTGCCCCAGCCACTGCTAGCCTTATTTTAGATGATGAGATGAGGCCTTGCAGCTTCTGGGTAGAGGAAGGGGTACCCTGTTGCAGGCAGTGTAAGCCCCTAGCCTGCGATCATTTTTATCCCTGCTCGTGGTGATAGGAATCCCGTGCACACTGAGCCCCCAGGACCCAGGATGACACACCATGACAAAGTGTACACAGTTGCTTACATAAAGCTTTGTTCCCAGAGATGCACTTGAGCTACCTCAGACAGGGGCGACGTGCAGCACAACTCCTTCCTCAAGTGGAGATGTGAGCCAGAAAGTGTGGTTCAGTGTGGGCTCATCCCAAACCACAGATGCTACTGTCTGTTTGAAAACAGGCATGGCTTCCTTAGGAAGCTTCCTAACTAAGTCTTACTGCAATGCTTGTTATTTCTCCTAGTGGGGAAAGAGGGCTGAAGTGCGCTGGCCCCAGCATGAAGGCTAGGGACAGGAGATGGAGACCGTGTTATGGCAGATTCTCCAGGTAGAGAGTGAGACATCATTTGGCTTCTGGAGTTTGTATTCCTCATAGCTTTACTTCGCTCTGATTCTTACTCGGGAAAAGCTCACACAGGCTCTGTAGCTGCCCGTCGTTAATCATTTAGGGAACAGTGACTCCACCGTTGGCAGGATGCTTTTTGCATGGTGTTTGCTCTACTGATAGTGTTTTCTTACGTCACATACTCTCTTTTCACACAGACTCCCTCTCCAGTTGCCCCGAGTGCCAAAGCCAACGTAAGTGTCCACTTCAGTGACTAAGCCTTGGCCCTGTCATCTGTGTGGGTACAAATGCTCTCCCCATCTCTTGCATTTATTTTGAGGATTCAAGTTTGACATGTGAACTGTCACCAAGCCCAGAACTGGGTTCAATAATTATTCCTATAACCACCCCTGCTCAAAAGCAAGAGAGGGACTGTAAAACCACAGACCCTGTGGCCAGAGAGATGGCTCAGCAGTTAAGAGTGCTTACATAAGACCTCTGTTCGGTTCCCAGCGCCAACACAATAGCCCACAGCTGCCTGTAACCCAGTGCTTGAGGATCTTACGCCTTCTTCTGACCTCTGCAGACTCCTGTATGCATGAGGTGCACACACACACATAAAATAAAATAAATAAACATTAAAACACATTTTATACACAGGCAAATTCACAGAGTGTGGAGAAGAGCGGATAGGCATAAAAGAGTCCATACCTGTGTTTGCATCTTATGTTGGAAACCAGATAAAACCTATCTAAGTGATAGGCTTCAGGATAATGGTCACGTGTGTGCACTGTGGAGCATTCTAGGTCTTGATGTGAACATCAGTGACATGTGTGGAATGTCATTCTGCAAACATCCTTCAGTCTATTTGTGGTATGGGTTTCCACTCTTTCATAAGATCACCTCTACTATGGAACTCCATGTTATATTTTTTGCATATTTATGTATTATTTTTAGTATTTGCAGAAAAAAAATCTGCAACCCCAAACCTTGTGGTGCTACAAACATGACTGTTACCATTCAGATCAAAGTGAACATTTAAAAACTGCTTAATGCATATAACACAAATATGTTTTCCAAACCATATCAGATGGCATGGGATATACCAACAGCACCGAGTTCTTGTTTCTCTCTATATATGTTATTCTTTTTGTTTGTTTGTTTTTGTTTTTTGTTTTTCGAGACAGGGTTTCTCTGTGATTTTGGAGCCTGTCCTGGAACTAGCTCCTGTAGACCAGGCTTGTCTCGAACTCACAGAGATCCACCTGCCTCTGCCTCCCGAGTGCTGGGATTAAAGGCGTGCGCCACCACCGCCCGGCTATGTTATTCTTTTTAACACAGTAATTTTTTTAGAATTGCATGCACACACACAATGTATTTCGATTGTATTTACCTCCTCTTAACTCCAGCTCTTCTCAAATTCCCTTAAATCTATCTTGAAAGTAGAAAAAATTTTAAATAATCTGTTAAATCCAATTTGTGTTGCCCTTGTACTGGTAATATACATCACAAATCCTTTTGAAATGTTTCATTTCTCCAATGCATCCAGGGCCCACGCATGTTTATTGTTGTTGTTTGTTTATTTTTAATCACGGAATGCATTCTCTACTCTTGGAGAATCTGGGCTTCTCTGACTCTGTTTTTTGTCTCTGTGCCAGGACTGTGGTCCCTCTATTGGACTAGCAGCTGGAATCCCGTCTCTGCTGGCCACAGCCCTGCTGGTGGCCTTGCTGTTTACCTTGATTCAGAGGAGAAGAAGCGTGGATGAACCCTTTGAGGTGATCACTGCTTCTTCGGGTGTGACTGTGGTGCTTGAGTCGGTATCTCAGTGGACTTCTGTCTGGGCTAAGCATGTCAGAACCCAGAACCCATGTTGTTTCTGAGGTCAAGGCAGTACATGTTTTTGGACTGAAATGTCCTTTGTAGGCAGATTCAGGCAGGGCTGATTTACACATACCTCGCTGGTCACTTGAACAAATCTCTGGTATAAGATGACATTTGGGGTGGCAGAAAATAGGAATGGAAGGAGCTGACTGATGTCATGAAAACATATGCCTGTACAGTGGAGTGTTATTTACACCGAGGAAGGAAAGGGGGGGCACTAGCTTCATCATCAGATATGGTAAGGATGTGAGGGAAAATAAGAGACAAAAAGGTGCTGATGTGTCTGTGGAGGGGGTGCGTTGTCATATTGCTTGCCTGTTCCTGTGTCTAAACAAGCATGACATACAAGAGAATGTGCATGGACCCCTGACACACCATACTTGTGCCATATTTGCTCTGGAGACCATGCATGGTCACCTAGATCCATATCCAGCAAGGTTTCACAGCAGGATGTACTGTGAAGGCAGCCTTTGGGTTCTAACTTCACTCTCTACTTGTGAACAATCTTGGTTGTTTTCATACTGGTAGATATTAAAATCTAACGATAGAAAGCCTGGGTTCTAATCCTGCCTCTGAGCTGTATGATTTATGGACAGGTGACTCAACATTTTCTATGCCTTTGTTAGTTCAACTCTGTAACAGGTGTCATGAAACTATCCCCTCAGGCTAGGGTGTATCTCATGATACAGTGCACACACCTAGTATATGCAAGGTTATGAGATCCAACTCCAGCACCACAAACAACAATAATAAAACCTAGCACATAAACACTGCCTGTTTTAAGAGGTGGGAACAGTTGTAAGGACGCATGAGATAACAGGTGGTATATACCACGGTAACATGTGTAGCTGTAACATGTGTAGACTGGCAAGCTGTAAACTGGATATACACCAAGAAGTACTATGGGTGATGGTGGCATTATTTATTTAGGCAATAGTTTCTTAACTTTTGGTGCTCTTTAAAATGATCTAGAAGGCTAAAATACATCAATCACTAGGTTAATTAAATCAGGAATTTCTGGGACTAGAGAGATGGCTTTTCCAGAGGACCAGGATTCAGTTTCCAGCACGACCACTTGCAACTTCAGTCTCAAGGGATCTAAAATGCATATGGTACACAGACATACATGCAGGCAGACAACCAAACCCAAAACAAAACAAACAAATGAAAGAATTTCTGGTGATAGAACAGCTGAATTGTTCTAAAAACATTGGGGGGGTTGTTTGATTGTTTATGGTGGTCGGGATCAAGTCTGGACCTTTCCCATATGCTAGGCAGGGACTCCACCGCTGAGCTGTACTCCCGGCCCAACACATATTTTTATTATGTACATAGTCCCCCTTGAACATCATTCACAAGGGATACATTTCAAGACCATGTAGTAGGCACTTGATACCGTGAAGCATGCTGAACACTGTATACCATAGGACACTATGTACAAAAATAGGCTAACAATAAGTTAATCACACTGAAGAATAACATTCTTAGTTAATAATCAAATTGAATGACTTAACATAGAGCAATGACTGTGGACGAAGTCTCTTGACCGCTCAGTCAACCATCACAGGCCTGGCATCATACACAGCATGGATGCACTGAGCAAGAGGATGGGACGAAGCAGGGGGGCTCGAGGTCTTGTCAACCGATTCAAAACGGAAGCTTAAAACGTTTGGCTCCTGGAATTTCCATTAACATCTTGAGATCCCAGTTGGCTACTGGTAACTGAGACCACTGCACAAGCACAGGGCACATGCACAGGGGGTTACTGTAACTTTAGACAGACGTTAATGTGGAAAGTGGCCTGCCGAGAACCCAGTGATCCACTCCTGGCCGCCCTGTTTCACCTCTCCTCCTGCCCCCTTCTTCACAACACCGGCCCCGTGCTGGGTTTGAATAGTCTGCTTATGTAGCTCGAGGTTGGCTGGCTCTTCTCTGCGTGTTTGCTTTGTCTGAAAACCTCTGGCAGTTCTAATGCACACTGTGGCTTAAAACACAGTGATCTGAACAGTTACCGCTATGGCCCTTAACTAGTTATTTATTTATTAAACATTTTTAGGAAAGTGAGAGACCATGCGAAATTTCAGAACTCTAAGACAATCCCAAAGTCTCTGAGGTAAGAGCTTTTTATTCTAATCCCCTTATGTGACTGACACACTGACTTGTAGCAAGCTAAGGATTTTAAAGCTTAGACTGTACAAGGTGCCATGTGGGGCCCATGGAAAAGAGGAGGCTAAACTGTGAAAGCACAAAGGAGGTGAATAGTGTGTCATGACTGACCAGATGGGAATTCAAAGTTGACTTTAACATTAGAAAATCAGGGGGTGGACTGTAGCTACATGGTAAAATTCTGACCTAGCACGTGGAAGTCACTGGGTTCTAGGCCCAGCACTAAAAATTAAGATAAGAGAAAAAAAGGAAAATCAACTCAATATAATTATTTAATGGACAAAAGAAACAGATTTATGGCCACGTTGATAGGAAAAGAGGGTTTATAGAAAGGTAACTCACTTGTGCTAAGAGCTCTTTGTGTGTGTGTTTGTGTGTGTTCAATGTGTACGTGTGTGCATGCGTGTGTTTGTATGTGTACCATGGAAAGTGTGTGGAAGTCAGAGGACATTTCAGATGTCAGTCCTTACCTCTCATTTTTGTTTAAGAAGAGCTACTTAGCTGTTTTTCTCTGTGGATGCTGGCTCACAAGCCTTCAGGGGTTCTCTCGTCTCTGCCCCACATCTCCCCGTAAGAGTGCTGGGATTACAGACACTTGCACTGTATATCTGGGTTTTACATGGGTTCTGGGGATTCAAACCCAGATCCTTACCCTTGCTCAGCAGGCACCATTTCTTCCCAGCCCTTGATATGGACTTTCAAAGGTGACGTAGAATGTGAACCTAACTAGAACAGGGATACCTAAGGGAATATGTCTTTAAGATCAGAAATACATCAGAAATGTTCATCACTTGTACTCAGCACTGAACTTCAGGTCCTAACCAACACAATGGGATAAGGAAGAGCAAACATAACATTGAAAAGGAAGAAGTAAAATCATCATACTTTGCAGATTATATATGCCTGTCAACATAGGAAAAAGCCAGTAATCTACAGATAAGTTATTAGAATTAACAAAATAGTTGAGTGGGTTTATTGCATTGAAAACAACACACAGGGTTTAGCTTGGAGTCAGAGCACTCCCTGAGCACTGAAAGCACACACACACACACACACACACACAAAAGTAATGTGCATTTTTAAAATATCAATAGCTACAAGTTAGAAAAAGGATTTTATAAATCCTATTTTACAGTGGTAATAAAGTACACAGAATGCTAAAATTAAATCCGATAAAATGTCTAATCTTATTATGGAAAAAACTTCAATAAAAGACATTCACCAACAGCTAAGTTATGATGGTTCCATGCTCTGGTTCTGGAAAGGAAGACCCAACAACATAAAGATGTCAAATTCATGGCACGTTTAGTGTCTGTATATTCAGTGCAATTGTGGAGCCAGAGGGTGGTTAAAAGGACTTACTGCTCTTTCAGAAGACTTGGGTTCAGCTCCCATACAGAAGCTCCCAATGGTCTCTACTAATTCTAGGACATCTCCACTCTTCTGACCTCCTCAGATGCCAGTCATGTGCAATTGGGCAAAACATTCATATACACAGAAAATTATACACGTAATTGTGACACATAATCCAAGCACATTTCTCAATAAGCTTGCTAAGATTCTAAAGTTTATAGGGAATAAAACTAATTAAAAAGTGAACATGTAGGACTGGAGAAATGGCTCAGAGGTTAAGAGCACTGGCTGCTCCTCCAGAGGTCCTGAAGAATTCAATTCCCAGCAATCCCACAGTGGCTCACAGCCTCTATAATGATATTTGGTGCCCTCTTCTGGCATGTAGGCATACATGCAGGCAGAACACTATACATAGTAAATAAATAAATCTTTTTTTTTTTAACAAATGAGCATGTAGAAAAAATGAAAAAGAAAAATAGGATAGTAGGTTTGAACTCAACTATATCAATGATCATATTAGAGGTAAATTATCTAAAACAGCTTCAGTTACAAGGCAGAGAGGGTCAGTTTGACTAGAAAAGCAATATAAAAATCTCCAGAACCACACTTTATGAAAATAAAGACTTGATTAAAAGTTAAAGGATTGAGACCCTCTGTTAAAAATGATTAGAGAAAGTTGTGTGGCACACACACACACACACACACACACACACACACAAATAACCCTTGAAGGCAGTAAGCTCGGGTGACTGTAGACGCCACTCATTTCCTGCCCCTCGAGCGCCAATGTCTTTATTCTCCCGATTCCTGTATCTTAACAACCATTGTTTCAAATGTTTGGTCTGATTTTTTGGATGTTTCCACTGGAAGGGTCAATATGGTTGTTTGAGTCCATCTTGGCCAGAAGCTGAAGTCTCTACTACATCCTTTAAAATACCCGTTTATGTTCTCAAGAATCCTAGGCGGTCACCCACACATGAGATGGACCCACGAGGTGCCCAGGAAGGCCACATATATGTGAAGACAGTCTCTGGAAGTGAGGAGCCCTTGCCTGACGCTTACCGTCGTCCTGAAGAAATAGAGAGAAGGAGAGGACTGTGGTGGCTGGTGCCCAGACTGAGCCTAGAATGATGTGGATTCATCAGGGAGCTGACCCGGAACTGGAACAGGGCTGAAACCCCAGAAGTCTGTGCTTAGGAACTGTGCCGGTGAGGACCAGCTGCCTCTCATTGCACATAAATTTCATTATGGGTCTGGGGTGTACCTGGGTTGCTTTTCCTCATTAGGGGTGCTGCAAAAAGGCTCCGTCAACTTCGGGCCTTGCGGTTTTAATCATCAGTACAACCCAGGTGACTTGCTGTGCATCAGATGAGTCCCCTTCATCCTGTTTCTTAATCCAGAAAAGTCTGTTTTTGGGAAATGGACCTGGTTTCTGAGTGTCCTGCCTTCACTGCTGCCGGCTCCATCTCTTATCTTAAAAAAAGTAAATGAAGCTATGGAAGTTGGATTTTTCCGGGTGCACTGGCCAAGGTCAGCTTGGCACAAGTTAGGACATGAGTGAAATTTATGGAAGACATGTGGAAGAAGCCATTTCTTTCTCTGAATATCTCAGGGCAAAACTCACATGGAGCCGCACATGCCCAACACAGGCTAGGTCGTGTCATACAGCAGAGAAGAGGACATGGGCTTCTGAGTCAGACCTGCCCCCCCCCGGCAGCTGTGAGAATTTGGACGAAGTCACCTACATTCCCAAGCCTGCTTTGGGTCTTATAAAAGAGGGGAGAATAGTCTGTGTTTTATTCAGGCATCGGAAAAATTGCAAAAGGAAGGAAGGGAAGCATTTTCCACCAGGTAGACACTAGAAACATTCATTTCCCCTCCTCACCCCGCTCTTCCCACCTCTTCCCATCCCGTCGGTCTGATCAAGTCAAGCGACCGCTCTGCAGAATTTGTCACCCATAGTCACAAAGTCGAGAAGGAAGTACATCTAAAAGTAATTCCAGTTTCACTAGAAGTCTGCACCCTGAACTCTGAACATCATTTGCCCTTGTATGTCAACCAACTCTCAAATTCCCAGTACAGAGACCCACGCTACACATTACACATTAATCTCCAGGATGCTGATGTCTTTGATGGTTAATCTTCACTGGGGGGCACTTAGAGTTGCCGTGGAAACACACCTCTAGAAAGGGTTAACAGAGCAACAAGATCCGTGTGAATGTGAGAAGCATCGTTCCCTGGGCTTGGGCTTCTGGACTGAATAAAAGAGATTTCAAGTTGAGCACACAACATTCATCCCCCTCCGCTTCCCGACTACAGATAAAATGTGTGATCAGCTGCCACACACTCCTGCCATCTTGCCTTCCCAGCTGTGGCAGACTGTGTACCTTCAAACCGTGAGCCAAAACAAACCTTCCCACCCTTAAGTTGCTTTTATCAGGCATCTAATCCTAACAATGAGAAGTAACTAATGTAAAATTGGTATTCATGGTTTAGTGGCTTTGCAATGATGAATTTTGTGTGAAGTATTATAAAAAAAAGATGTTTGTGAGGAAGAGAGATAAAGAGGACCAAAGATGAACACAGGAACAAAGGGATGGGTTAGTATATCTACACCTGCCATTCAAGGGAAATCTAGCGGCAACTTTACCAGCTTGGGCCTTTACTTCCCCAGATGGCTTCCAGGTGCTCTGGTCACAGCTCCTCCTGATGCATAGCCACTGCCTCAGACAGGCCATGCTTCACAGTGGGAGAGATGAGGTCTCAGAGCATCTCTGGAGGCAATCCCAGTCCCCATGAGCCACCCTGATATCTTAGGGAGCCATCTTTTCTCATATGGGGCCTCTGGATGTTCAGAAATGATCCTATTTCTTGAATGGGGAATAGTTCTATAAACACAATGACCACCACCTACTAACAACCACCTTTCAAAGCCCCTCTAATACTAAAAAAAAATGTCTTTCATGGCCCAGCTCCTTAGATAAGCTCATGTGGACAGCTTCAAGCAGCCATGCCCAGGGATACTGAGCATTCTCTTTTCTTGCGTGGTGGAAAAGGACCTTGGACTCCCTGAGAACCTGATCAGACTAGGCCTTATAGCTTTGACATAGATGGGTGTCAGCTCCAGCCCATAATGTTGGCCACCTAGAGACTCAGTCCTGTGCTGATAAAAATGACCCAGGCATCAAAGAAGCCTGAAAGAAATACACTTATCAGTGAGGTTTGTAACTGGTAAAGTAAGGTATGACTGTGTTTCAGATACTTTAATTCTACTTACAATCAATTGCTTAGAATCTTTATTTCAAGTCGTTTTCACTAAAATTTCGAGAGTCAGCATTTCTTTTGGTGCAAACACTTATTTTGTAATCTGGTGAAAAATAAACAGCCGTTTGACGAACCCATGAGGCACCCGTGGTTCTTTTCCCCTCAGTGAAGAGTGCAACTTCTCCTTTCCTTTCTTCTGCCTCTTTCCTTCCAGGCCGGCCAGAACCTAAGTGTGCTTCCTCCGGCACTGCACACGTGGGGCTCCCGACCTTTCTCTGTAGCCCCTCCATGCCTTGAAACAGGACCCCTCTAACAGGTAGTGAGGGGGCCTCTGTGCTGGAAACTCAAACAGCACCACGCTCTTGTTTCCTTCTTTCCCCCATTCTCTTCCTTCACCAACTGACACATTGAAAAGATCTAAACTAGGAGTAGCAGTCAGGCCTCGTGCTGGTTTACCAGCTAGGCTGCTGCAAAGGAAAAGCAGGCAGGTGTGGCAAAGCCCTGTGGCGACACTCTTCAAGCAACTCCACAGAAGGGGCGTTTCTGGGAGGGACGTGTTCACTGTCTCCTCACAGGGACAATCATTCCTCCTGTCTCCTTAGCAAGACTTCAGTAGAAACAGTCTTACAAGGGGTGGTCTCTTGGCCAAGTGATTGACAGGTCCAAATGGATTATCTGCTAAGGGAGGAGCAATAGTATGACACATACTAATCTTTCGAGACAGATCAGACTGCCATGTTGCCAGCCAAGGCCAAAAGGCCTTAAGAAATGGCAAAGTTGATGCTTGTCTTTCTAGCATTACCAGCAGTGTGGGAGGTGGGGGCCAAAGCTCTGGTAACATCCAAGACCATGGAGAATGGACATCTGGGTAAAGCTGATTAACCCTCTGTGGGAAAAGCACAGTAAGCTGTGACACCAGATTCCCGCCATCCACCTATGACACCCGAGACTGTGTGTCAGGGACCTCTCTTCTTCACGTGGCATCACGCATCCCCTGGAAACAGGCTGAAGCTCATCGGTTTGTCTTCAGCTCTCCAGCAGGCTGAGGACAATGACATAGCTACAATCGGTGGCGTTTAGGACTCTTAAGGGTACAGGATCTGTCTACCCTGTTCCTCCTGGAGGAAGCAGGAGGGAAGGATGGATCTGGTGAGGAAAGTTCCAGAACTTGCTTCCTTGCCTTGGATTCCCCGAGATGAAAGAAACCCCACTGCCTCTCTGAGAGATCCAGGGGGAAAAGGAAGACTTTCCTGCTCTGGTTTAGGAAATGCATTTGCGACCAAGAGAGAGCGGTGAGAACCCATCCTGATACAGCTCAGTGCTGGTCAGGGAAGGAACCAGCTCAGAGCAGAGCCAAGACAACTAGGAGTCAGCACCCTGCCTTGCGGCACATCTGAAGGGACCCAGAGTCCCCTTGGGAACCTCAGATGCACGTATTACACCTGTGTGTCCCTTCAAAATCAACGACAAGCTTTCGCTTCCACGGTTCCATTTCCAAGTATAATAACTGAGCAAAGAAAACTTTAGCCTTTTGTTTCTATTTTTATTGTTGATGTATACAGAGATCCAGACACACAGGGGTTAGGTGGGCTTTGATGCTCTTCTCTGCATGAAGCACCAATGGCAATACCATTTTTATTGAAAGAATGAACCACAAATTCTATATAGCAGTGGGACAGACAGCCTGAAAATGTGACCCACGGCCACATCCCAGCTTATCCAGCCAACAAAGTTGCTCTAGAATATTCTCTACACATAGTTTCCATGTGATCCATTTGCTGTCTGCATTGCCTGAGGCCTAAAGAATCCCGGACTTTCCTAAGCTAACACACAACCCGGCTTGTCTAACCCGAAGAGAACCAAATCAGCGGCTCATTCTTAGGCGTTTCTTTCCCATGGTTCAATGTAATCCAGTCCCAGGTGGGCAAAGATCTCTTCTTCACTGTCTGCTTCAAGAAACACCCTCTGGAAGCATAAGGAGAAACACACACTCAATAGCTATCCTTCAGCTTCTGGGCGCAGTCACACTGAACCACCTCCCACCTGCTCCTGAATATGAAAGGTCAGAGGAAGCCAGGGTGTGGTGACCCACACCTGGAACCCCAGCACTTGGGATGCAGAGGCAGGAGCCTGGGCAGCAGAGTGAGACCTTAACCCAAACAATCAAACAAACAACAAAAGCCCTAGTGACTGCTTCCTGAACTTTCGACACTTTCCCATCCAGGAAATGGCATGTGTGAATCAAGGCAAAACGGTGACATTCTTCCCCGGTCAGCAAGTGACACAGGGAATTCTTTTCTAATTCTTCTTCTTTGTGTGTGTGACTGCATGTTTACATGTGGACGCATATGTGTGGAGATGCATGCACATTCGTGTGTTCCATGTGGAGGGCAGAAGTCAACACTAGATGATGTCTTCCTCTAACAGTTTCCTTTTTTTTTTTTTAAGACAGGGTTTCCCACTGAGCCAGTAGCTTATAATTGACTAGACGGATTAGCTCCAAGAATCTGCTTGTCTTGGCCTTGCCCATGGCTAGAGTTACAGATATGTCCACCACTCCTGGCTGTTATGTGGTGCTAAGGGTCTGAACTCAGGTCCTTGTGCCGGCACGGTCATCCCTCCGGCCCTACTGGTCTCTTCTAGTTTTAAAATGTTTAAGTATATGGGTGTTTTGACCACGCATATGTCTATATACCACATTCATGCTTGGTGCCTGAGGAGGCCAGAAAAGGGCATTGTAGCCGCCATGTGGTTGAATCAAAGCCAGACCCTTTATAAGAGCAGCCAGTGCTCTTAATCACTGAGCCATTGTTCCGGCCTAGACCCTTATTCTTAACCATAATTGTTCTTTGGAACCATGTGATGGAGCTTTTCTTTTCTTTTTCTCCTAATAAAAAAGC